AGCCGCATGTGGCTCGTGAGCCACAGTTTGCCGACCACTGCTCTAGAACATTCAAAATTTTAAGCGAATTATTTCCTTTGAGACCATCCCACATTCATCAACCAGGAACTGCCTACATGCTACTTCTGCTAATCTTGGTGGGTTTAATGAACCTCTCAATGAAATCATATCAGTTCTCTAAATCTACTGCTGAGAGTATTTTCTCTACCTATAGAATATTTATTAATACAGGCCCAAATTCCCATCTATCCCTGTGGTGGGCAGAATAATGCCCTCTCCCCCCAAAAGATGGCCATGTCCTAATCCCTGGAAACTATGAATATATTACATTATGTTATGTTATGAATGTTATGTGTTATGAATGTTATGGCAAAAGAGAGTAAAAAATGCAGGAATTAAGGTTACTTGTGAACTAAAATTTAAATAAAGAGATACCTGGATTATCCAGTGGGCCTAATGCCTTCGGGGTGGAAAAGTAGAAGAGGCAATGTCAGTAATGCAATGTGAGATTCAATCATCCGACGCTGGTATTGATGGAAGGAGGCCAAGGAACATGGGCTGCCTCTAGAAACTAGAAAAGGCAAGGAAATGTCTTCTCCCCAAGAGCATCTAGAAAGGAACAGAGCCCTGACAATACCTTGATTTTAGCCCAGGGAGATTCACATCAGACTCTGACCTCCAGGGCTATAAGGTCATTAGTGTCTACTATTTTAAGCCACTACGTTCATAACAATCTGTTATAGCAGCAATACAAAATGAATAGGATACTCTTGTACTAAAACATACATATTAAAAGCATATAATCTTTCCGAACATCACTCTTTCTTCAGTGTGGTTTGGCCATGGTCAGTAATCAAAGGCTCTCTGATTTGATTGTTTTCCTATTAAATCAAAGTTAACTTTACCTTCAGGAGCTTTTTCCAAATTTTATGTAATGGGAAGAGAGAGGGAAGGAAGGTAATATTCTTAAATATATGAGAAATCATGAATATTTATATTGACTTGAAAATTGGCCTTTCAGAAAGCTGCCACATCTGAGAATGAAAGGAACTGGTCTGGTATAAAGGCACACCTAAAGCATGACATTTGATTAGAGCAGCAATTTTTAAACTTTTTCATCTCATGGCACTTAATAAAATTCTGCTCCACACCAAAAATTATGTTTGTTGCCAATCTGACCAAAAAACTAGGTATAATTTTGATTCATTCACACCGGACGGCAATTGTTGTGTTGGTTGTTGTCACTTTTTTATTTGACATTTAGGGATAAGAGGTCAGTCCCCTGACTAGCCAGGAATTGCATATGGCACTAGTTGAAAATCTCTGGATTAGAGCACTAGTGCACAGGCAGCATGGCCTAACAGTCTCATTGATATATCACCGTCTTAGCCATTGATGGTCTCTTTCCTGGTCTTGTTTTATACTTACAGGTGTATTTTTTTGGGGGGCCTTACCAATATACTAGTAAAAATGAGTTTATCAACTAGTTTTGTTATAAACCGAAAAACTAGTATTATAGAATTGTACACCTGAAACCTATATAAATTTAGGAACCAATGTCACCCCAATAAGTTCAATAAAAAATAAAATAAAGGGAAAAACTACTAGCCAAATGATCATTCTTCAGCAATGAACGTATCTGAGATCATTTCTGGTGTTCTACTTTCACCAATGCACTTATTCTATCTCATAAATGCCTACACTGATCTGTAATACACCATTTAAAAGTTTTCATTGTCAGTAAATTTGGGAAATTCCACACTATGAGACTAACAAACAAGTTTAACTTCTGTGAAGGATGAATAACTGTTAATGATAAGAAAATATATATAAGTCGGGTTTTCTACAATGGCTTTATTTTTAAACTTATACAGTTTCATTTAATAAAATATTACCACAAAATATCTAATTATACAGCAACAGAAAAACAAAAATACAGTTAGAGGTTATCCAAAAATAAATTCACAATTTGAAGTTGAAATACATGTTTTTTTCAAATAAACAATTTAAGATTGTTTCAGACGGCTTTCCTCTTAAACGTCTGAGAGACACATGCTCAATCTTTTGAACTCAAACTAGACAACCTCTCAATAACTTCACAAGTAAGTTCTTCCATTAACGTGAGAAATAAAATAACCCTCAAAACATTCAATTACTAATTTAGTCACAAAATTTACTTGGCTACTCTTGAAAATGAAATCTATATCTGAATTGTGAAGAGGAACAAACTTTTTATACAAAAAGTTGAGTCTTCCTAACTGATTTATTTTCTATTAAATGATCTTATTCAAACTACTTTCACAATATATCTTAATCCTGAAAGAGTTCGAGGTGTTAAAATACGAAAAGCTTCTTTGGCCCTTTGGATAGAGGTACCTTATATGTAAACAACTGTAATGAGAGCCTTCTAGATGTGGACACTCTATCTTACTGAGTTGGAGATGTGTGTCCTTGTTTCTGAAAGACATAGAAATTTATTTCCTTATAATAAAAGAGTTGATATACTGAGATTTGTTTTCAAATGCCTTATCAAAATTCATGTATATGTCTATAAAGAATAGGTTCAAAAGATCAGAGGAAAGCATTCCATAATGATATTATATCATAGGTTTTATTAATGGTAAATGTTTGCATTTATTTTTAAAAGCTTAGCTCTTGCTAAGCACCTTTAAAAAAAAAAAAAAAGCTAATAAGCAAAGAATCATTTGCCATACAAAAACTATATTCACAAATAAGACTTTAAATTTAATCAAGTGAAAGCTAAAAACCACTGGAAAAAATACAAAGCAAAACTCTGCTGAGTCAATTCAATTGCTTTCTATCACTGAATATACAGTATTTAGGATGATACAAGCATACTGAACTTAAAAAGTAATTTTGTGGATTCAATCTAAGCAAGACTGGCAGTAAGACTAGCATAATGACAAGTAATTCCTGATTTCCACTCCCACTCCCAAAAATTTCTTCAAACTGAATCATTTGAACAAAAGGTCTCTTTTTCATTTGAGAGGAAGACCATCTGTGTTTACCAAACAGATCCTCATTTCATATTACAAAGGAAAACTGAGCCCTATCTCCTCTTCCCAGAGGCTATTATACATGGCTTTACATAATGACCTAACATAGAATTACTCTTTTAGTAACAGTGTTGTGGCCATAAACAATCAGTTTTAAAGAAAAGAAAAGAAAACAAGAAAAAAACCTATCAAGTGCAAATCTAGAAGACTTCCTTTAAAGAATTACCCAAACCTAGCACACATACAGTATCGCTATTACACAAGCTTAAGCAATACAACTTATAAACATGTGTAGGATAATACACACACACTATGCCTTCTATAAAGTTTTAGTAGTGTTGCCAAGTTAATAATTCTTTCAAGGCACTGAAGAATTGTGTAGATGAATTTTCCAAAATATAATTACCAATTGCTTCAACTGTTAAAAAGCCCTGAGTCAGAACTTTCAATAGCTTCCTGAAATTATGTATTTCAGCCAAAATGGCACCTTTATTTACTTTATAGAAAATTACAAGACCAGTTTTGCTTTTTGGAGGAAAGAAGTCATGTTTATGAAACAAAATCAAATAGACTATAAGGAAAAGTAAGCTATTGGCAGTATTATCTTTCTTACACATTTTATGCATGTCAATTCAACTTGTAGTTATGGATTTAGGTACCAAATTGACGTGGCAAGTCACCTTTCCTGTACCTGTTGCTTAAATCCTCAACTAAAAATTTCAATTTTAACCTTGGGTTTCCATCTCCTCCTTAATCACAAATATGAATAAATGCTGGAAAAAATAATATTCTGATAGAAAAGGAGGTAGAAAAAGCTAATGTAGCAACTTACAATTTGAACTCAGCACCTCCACTATCTAGTTCATATTTTAATACTCATTTCACCCACTGTTAACCATTTTTCAGTAAACTGAGGCTCAATCTAAAGGAGTCCCCACTCACTGTAGCAAAGCAATGTACACATGAGACAGCACTGAATAGTTTTTCCTCAAATTTAATGTTTTAAAGAAGTACAACTGTAATTACTAATACTATTATAGTTTTATATATATGTTAAAGTTCCAAGGCTATATATGACTACCAAGTAATATCAGTAAGCATTCCTATCATAATAGTCAAGCAAATAAAATTGCTTTTTTGAGAGAAAAAAAATATATTTGAAACAGTTACATGTAGACTTAAAGACAACTTACATTTTTCAACAAGGCACACATAATTGTGAAAATCTTTTACCTTCCCAATTTAGTACAAGTTCAAAGCTTAACTAATTCTAATGTTTAAAATGTGTTTCTTTCCTCTGGTTCAAAATGAACTCACAAACCCTTCCAATTAACAGACTTTTAAAACCTTCTCAATTATGACTGATGATAATTGTAAGGGTCGGGGAAGAAACTTGATGTTTACCATGACTTTAGATCTTGCAAACACTAACAATTAAGATAATTCAGGCATTTTTATATTTAATCAAAATTCTACTCCAGTTGGGGGAGGAGAAGGAGTTTGTGGTTTAATGGGTATAGAGTGTCACTTTTTCAAGATGTGATTGTTTCACAACAATCTGAATTTACTTAACACTAGTGAACTGTACACTAGAAAATGGTTAAGATGGTAAATTTCATGTTATGTTTTACCATAAAAGAAATGCAAAAACTTCTATTCCAAAGTTCAATTTGTTTTTTCAAAGAGGAGTGTAAGAGATATTTTTTCTTTTAAATATATTTTATTGATTTTTTACAGAGAGGAAGGGAGAGGGATAGTTAGAAACATCGAAGAGAGAGCAACATCGATCAGCTGCCTCCTGCACACCCCACACTGGGGATGTGCCCGCAACCAAGGTACATGCCCTTGACTGGAATCGAACCTGGGACCTTTCAGTCCGCAGGCCGACGCTCTAGCCAAACCAGTCAGGGCCCAAAGTTCAATTTTTACACAAATTATTACTATAAAATACTTTAGACATTCCGAGAAGATAAGTGCTTTTCCTTTTGGATTTTTTTTTTTAAGCAAGCTGTATCAAAGCCTATAATTTCCAAAACAATTGTCAATTAAACTACACTGGAAACTGGTTGAAAGGCCCTTTCTATTATCCAATTAAATGCACTTACTGCTTTGATAAAATCTGCATGACCCCCTTTTCCCTCTAATTCAAACACTTGACATTTCTTTTTTACTTTAGCAACACCCTACTGTTTTCCCTATCCTACCCCATCACTAAGTCTCTTAGTTCATAAATTTAACTAATTCCTACTCCAAAAGGGTCCAAAATTGATAACAAAAATGGCAATTGGGCAACACAGACTAGAGAGTATATTTCTATCATATAAAAATGAAGCAAGCTTTAAAATTTGAATTGGATAAATCTTAAGCAACGTGCATTTCAATATGCTAGAATAGTCTTACAGGCTAAAGCCATCAAATATATAAATTTAAGAATTATTTTCAACATTATCAATTAATTTTATGCCTCAGTAGCTAGCTGGCCAATTTGCAATGTTTAAAATTAATAACCAAGCATAATTTGGCCAGCTAAACTAACCACTTGTCTAATATATTCCTATGCTAACACAAAATGATCTTTTCTTGAAAAACGATCTTGCTCCCAACAAAATTAAGTATGTTTATAGTATAGTATAAGCAGTAACAATGTTAAATTATGTGAAGAAAAACAATTGGAATAGCACCACCATCTGGTAAGTTGTATGTTTTGGGTAACAAAGCTGACAATCTTAGAAGAGTAAGAGAAAATGTAGGAGTGAGGGGGTAGAAAGAATCCAAATACTACTGGATAACTCCTATAAAACATTAGGAAATGCTATCAATACCTTTGGACCCCTCTGTCTATAGATTACTTCAAATATATGACTGCATGATAAATTCTGTATGTGCTAAGGTGCTGACCATTTTTTTCAATGTCGTTTATCTAGCCCCTGATGCCCAATATGTTTTTTAATGAATGGACATTAGTTTTGTTTTGTTTTGAAAGATTCCAGGAAAAGTAAAAGCTCTTTGAGGTGTAAGATGAAGAGATGGTAACGAGAAGGAAACACACCTAACTGGGAAAGTACTGCTACGCAACATATATAGTAAGAGGTAGCAGTTTCACAGTTAGAGGAAACTCACGTAAGTTCCTATTCTCTCTCACGATCCCCAAATAAATTTAAAATAATTTTTCAGGTGGTTGAAAATGTGACTAGAGAAACATTTTCTATTCGTTAAGTAAATTTCAAAGTGGTACAAATACAGAAAATCACAAGTGCATAGCACTATAATTATAGTGACTACCTTTTGTAATAGTTTATGTTATTATATTTTTAATATGATGGAACTAAACAAATCTGGAAGATGAAATTGCCTTTTAGGAATATAAGTTTTAGCACTGCAGCTCAGAAGACAAATAAAAAGGATTTAAATAGAGCTCTAGACCATAAAATCCTCCGGTTGGCCAAACTATGCGTGAGTCAGCCAGGTGTTCCCTCTTACCAGTGGATCTACTGGAAAAGAGATGGGCGGCCTAGGGCATGGAAGAAAAGGAAAATCCTGACTTACACTGTCTTCAAATCTAAAAGAGCATAGTTTGTCTCATTAGGTGAACATCATCAGTCAGATGTTTTATCATTTTATAACTTCAAATAGCCTCAGTGGCCCTTTATTAGATAACTGAGTAGAGTCAATAAATTTTCAAATGTAAATTTATAAAAATTTTACCATTCTCAATGACGTTACTCAGCTAAACACAGATATGGAGTTACCAAGACTATAAAATCAGCCAGCAAAGCTCGCCATTGTTTTCTCCAGCACTTGCAATGGCAGAAGCCATTAAGTAGTCAGAATCATGATGCTCTGAGGGCTAGAGACTTAATACTTTCAAAGTTAGTTGTTGTGGCAGAAAAAAATGACGTAAGAATCAGATTCAGAGGGGGAAAAAACTACCAAAAAGATAACTATCCTTAGGAATAAGCTTATACACAGTATTTAGTAGACACTATTGTAAACAGCTGGTATCTTAATAATCTAGCAGCAATGAACCCCAAAACTCTTATTTATGTGTATACATATCCTAGATAAGATTACTCATTAAAAGGAGAGAAAATTATTAGATGCTCTAAAGTCAAAATTTAAGTTTAAAAAATTTACGGGTAATTGGACATATTTCTGTAAATGTCCTAGTTACTCTTTGTAAAGTATTTATTTTTAGGTTATTTACTATGTCTTGGGTATTGTCGGCAATTTAAATAATGTCCTTGTCTGTAGGTATAAAGAGAGACTGTTTTCTTTATAGGAAGCCTCACTATCTGAGAGAGAATGGAAGCAAGGCCTAGAATCAGTATCACTGTCAGAATTAACAGATACAGAGAAGAAAGAACTGCTGCCTTTGGGCAATGCATTATCCTTCTCAGATCACTAGGGTATTGCTGTTGTTGAGTATATTAGAAAGGCTGAATTGAACTTCAGAGACCAATCACGGTATTATTGTTTCACTGGACAGATCAAGCCTGGATAAGTAACCACAAGGAAAACTGAGGTATACTTTTCACAGGCATTTTTTTAAAGGCTAACTGAACAGAACAGTGTATAAATTAACATAAGAAAGGCAATCATTAACAGCAGTTAATAGATACTCTCTGACTGAATAATTTTCCTCCCTACAGTTCCCCACTATAATTTTTCCTTTTCATGTCTACCCATCATTTTGATACTGGCAACTGGATTCAAGTTTCCTTTTCCCTTTAAATCTAGAAAAATAAGCTAAATGCAAACCCATTATTCTCTCATTCTATGCTTCCATTTACTCTAAGGCAGCCGTTCTCAACCTGTGGGTTGCAACCCCTTTGTGGGTCGAATGACCCTTTCACAGGGGTCGCCTAAGACCATCCTGCATATCAGATATTTACATTACGATTCATAACAGTAGCAAAGTTACAGTTATGAAGTAGCAACGAAAATAATTTTATGGTTGGGGGTCACCACAACATGAGGAACTGTATTTAAAGGGCCAGAAGGTTAAGAACCACTGCTCTAAGGATTCAGAAACAATCATTTGGATAACTTTATGTTACCTTAAAAAAAATTCACTCTTTAATATTCCCCATATGTGACAGAATAGTTTGACTTGCCCCTTTCATTTGATGCATAACTTTTCTAAGTACCTGTGTCAACTCACTGTATCAAATTATGATAAACTGAAGGATAGCATATTATAACGAAATGTATCTTCTGAGGTCTAACAAATTTATAACAGAAGATCTTTAAAGGATTTTTCCTCCTTCATAGATTTTCCCCTCAGCCAATAATAAATTATCTTGAAGTACATGGATTTGATGTTTCAAATTAAAATTAAAATAAAAACATAAAACACACACAACTTCAAACACTGTTTTGTAGAGTTATTTTGTTCTGGTACATTTACAGTTTAATTATACTCTAGTAAAGAAACTATAATATCCAAAATTAATTCATTAGAACCTCCAACTAGTTTAAAGGCTTACTAAGATCTCATAACCAAATACCTTAGCTAACAAAACACACTGAGTTTCTTGTTAATACAAAAGAATCCTTCGTTCAATAGCCTTGCGACAGATTGGACATTCACTCATTCGGTCTCCACAGAGTTGGCACGTTCCATGGCCACAGAGGAAAATCATATTCTTTAGACGATCCAAACACACTGGGCACATTGTCTGGATGGGAGATAATAAATAAAATAATAAATGCTGAGACATTTTATATTTTGAAAGTGTAGCATGTGACAACTCTGTAACATCATTTTCTTTTGTTTTAGTTAAGTAATCTTTTGTTGCTTAGAATTTTTTTTAACTTAAAAAAAATTATTTTTAATTGAATGCCCAGCAGGAGAATTTGTGGCCGGTCAATCTTTTTCCATATGCCCAATCTCCACATGGCTGCTAGTGAAGATTTAAAATAAAAGAGGAGAGAGTTATTCAGGTGCTTTCTCTTGGTAGCCCTGAAGAGGCCCTGAAAAAAAAATCCCATCAATTCCTCAGAAAATGAAGTGTGTCTTAGTGTTTAAATACTTTAATGATGAAACATGGTAATAGAGATAATTTAAGGAAGAAACTTCTTTGAATGGTAAACTTTGGATAAAGGTAGAGCTGAGTTATTCTTTTAGGATCCATATACGGTGTCATTATCTATATATATAAAAGCGTAATATGCAAATCAACTGGACAGCGGAACAACTGGTTGGCTATGACGTGCATTGACTCCCAGGGGGCAGATGCTCAATGCAGGAGCTGCCCCCAGCCTGCAGGCCCCAATTACTTGATCGGAGCCTGCTGGCCAACCTCTTGGTACCTCCTCCCGGCCGGTAGGCTCTGATCGCCTGATGGGGAATGGGGAACTGGGGGTGGGTGGCAGTGAACATGGGTGGCGCCAGGGCCCCAATCGCCCCGCCGGTCACCCCACACACAGAGGGCGACTGGCAGAGATGGCAGGAGGTGGGGCCAACTGCTGACAGGTGTGGAAGATCAGCTCTGATTGCAGGCCAGGCCTAGCGACCCTACCCGTGCATGAATTTCATGCACCAGGCCTCTAGTTTATTATAAAAAGAATTTTAATTCACAATCTTATCTAATAAGAGAAACATGCAAATTGACCATACCTCTGCTACACCCACAAGCCACGCCCACCAACCAATCAGGAGCAAGTATGCAAATAAAACCAACCAAGATGGCGGCAGCCACAGAGCTGGAGCAAACAGGAGGCTTGGGTTGCCCCCGGCAATGAAGGAAGCCAAGCTTCCCACCTGCCCTGGCCGGCTGTGAGCTCCGCTCAAGGCTACAAAGTTTCAATTATAAAAGATAAATAAATCCCAGATACCTGCTTCCAGCCGCTGTGGCCTCAGATCAAGGAGGGTCTGGGAGCCTGGGTTGCCCGAGGCCGTGGCCAGCCAGCAAACAGCCATCAGCCACTCACCCAGGCTGGCCAGGCACCCCAGTGGGGACCCCCACCCTGAAGGGGGTGTGGCCAGCTTGAAAACAGCCCTCAGCTCCTAACCCAGGCTGGCCACGCCCCCCCAACAGGGACCCTCACCCCAGGAGGGCGTGGCCGGCCTGAAGACCACCACAGGCCCCTCGACCAGGCTGCCCCAGGCCCCAAGGGAACCCCCACCCTGATCCAGGACACCCTTCAGGGCAAACCAGCCGGCCCCCACCCGTGCACCAGGACTCTATCTATACTAATAAAAGGGTAATATGCTAATTAGACTGGGAGACCTTCCGGACGTTCTTCTGGACAAAGCCATGGTGATGGGGCCGAGGCAGAAGCTGTTAGAGGCCAAGAGGGGAGGGCATTTGTGGGTGATCAGGCTGATGGGGGGGCAGGGCCGTTGGGGGTAAGCAGACCAGCAGGGGGGCCAGTTGGGGGCAAGCAGGCCATCAGTGGGGGTCAGTTGGAGGTGATCAGGATAGCAGGGGGGGGCAGTTTGGAGAAGGCCAGCAGGGGGGCAGTTGGGGGTGAGCAGGCCAGTGGGGAGGGAAGGTGGGGGCAAGCAGGCCAGCAAGGGAGGCAGTTGGGGGTTATCAGGCTGGCGGGAGGGGGGCGGTGGCATTTGGGGGCAAGCAGGCCGGCAGGCAGAGTGGTTAGGGGCAATCAGGCAGGTGAGCGGTTAGGAGCCAGCAGTCCCAGATTGCGAGAGGGATATCCAACTGCTGGTTTAGGCCCGATCCCTGTAAACCAGCAGTAGGACATCCTTTGAGGGGTCCCAGATTGGAGAGGGTGCAGGCCGGGCTGAGGAATTTCGTGCACCGGGCCACTAGTTAGGAGATAAAATGCTTTTTCCCAGAAGGTGTATTCAAAAATCAGTTTTGTTAATCAGCTTAACAATGTTAATCAGCTTAACAATAACCCACAACCGTCGGACCAACTTCAAAAATCAGTTTTAAGTGTCTAAGGTAAAAGAACTGAGATTCTAAGGAACTTCAAAAATTTTAAATCATTTTATTTTATACTAGAATGAGCTAAATATGTTCCTACTTTAATATTCCTACATTAAGAACTTATAAGTCCATATTTATCTTTACTTGCTACTATATAACAAGTATTACTAGGTGTTGGATTTCGGAAGAAAAACTGACCCAATCATAGAGTTTTCATCTTTTCAGATGGGTGTTTTAATTCCTAATAAACATATACAGTTAGTTCTAAATTAGTTATCACAAGGGTCATTAGCTATCCTGGGTTACTATCTATTAACTATGTTATATTCTTACAAATTCAGACAGAAAAGACAAGTGCTAATTCTAACAACTGCATGGCAACACTGATGTATTTGTCTAAAGAAATAATAGCTCAATCCTTTGAATTAAATCAGATGTAATTGCTGGGTCAAATAGCAAGGTTGGGGAGGAGAAAGACTTTCTTACCTATCCCTACAAGTTTTAGCTATTCTTTTCTTATTTTATTGTTGCTTTTATTAAATATTGGGTAGATATAAGAGCATTTCTGTTTGTATGTATCTATAATAATAAAAGCATAATATGCAAATCGACCCAAAGGCTGAACAGCAGAATGACTGTCCTTCCAGACTACCTTCCGGACAAAGCCGGGGCTGCGAGGGCCAAGGCAGCCAGGGCTGCAAAGGCCTACTCTTGCAGGACTCTAGTAACATATAAAGAACAGTATGACTACCATGCAGTTTAAAACATAAAAGACTACCATTTATTTTGAAGCCCTTCCATACATCCTCCCCAATTCTTTCTATCTACTCCTCACTGATAACTATTCTGAATTTTACATTTATCTTTCCCTTGCTTCTCATTATGATGTGTGTGTGTATTTTGGAAGTATCCCATCTATACATAAATGTACACAACTCACAAATGTACAGTTTTTTGTTTTTTAATTATATTTTTATTGATTTCAGAAAGGAAAGGAGAGGGAGAGAGAGATAGAAACATCAATGATGAGAGAGAATCATTGATTGGCTGCCTCCTACATGCCCCACACCAGGGACCAATCCCACAACCTGGGCATGTGTCTTGACTGGGAATCGAACCGTGACTTCCTGGTTCATAGGTTGATGCTCAACCACTGAGACACGCCGGCCAGGCATAAGTGAACAGTTTAATGAAAGTTCACAAACTCATAAAATGCATGTAATTGATAGTTAAGAAGTGGAGTATCAGTCCTCTAGAAATTTCTTTCATGCCTCCTCCCAGACATCCCAGGCAAGAAAACCACTACCCTTGATTTTAAACACCATCTGAATGATTATCTTTCCAAGTTTACATCCCCAAACATATTTTGTTTAGTTTATTAGATAAATGACAAATTTCCCAGTGTTTTTACTAACTGACATTCCTGCCAGCATTGTGAGTTACGGCTGCTACATATTCTGCCTAAACACATTGACAGTTTTTAACACTAAGTTTTTCCCACAGTCTGGTAAGTGGCAAAAGGTACCTCATAGTGGTTTTAATTTTTATTTATTACTAATGTGGTTTAGCATTTTTTCATGTTTATGGTCATTTGTGTGTTTCCTATTTTGGAAATCTTTCAACCAGATTTTACCTGCTGCAAATATTCAAATACTACAAGTGATACATTAATATGAGCCATTCCTATTATAGGAAACACTAGTAGTTTTATAGAAAAATATGAAATGCCACTCTCAGAACCATTTTTACCATGCAGAAAGCCTTTTTACCTGCTCCTTAATGTCCTGCAACTGCTGCTGCAACTTCTGCACATCTGCGTTGACATTTGTATTATCTTTGTCCTTTTGTAACACTGGGATATTTCCACTTGCTATAATAGAGATAAAAAAAATCTAATGTTATGACTGTTTTGACACAATAATGATTTTTTATTTCTAAAATTATTACTGTTTTATTAAAAAACACAAGACTATGCCCTAACCGGTTTGGCTCAGTGGATAGAGCGTCAGCCTGCGGACTGAAGGGTCCCAGGTTTGATTCCGGTCAAGGGCATGTGCCTTGGTTGCAGGCACATCCCCAGTAGGGGGTGTGCAGGAGGCAGCTGATCGATGTTTCTCTCTCATCGATGTTTCTAACTCTCTATCCTTTCCCTTCCTCTCTGTAAAAAAATCAATAAAATATATTAAAAAAATAAACAAGACTATTATTAGAATCCTCTTTAAATATTGTTTTTACATGTGGACAACAGATCAGTAGTAATATTCATGTTATACTCCCTCACTTATAATTTTCAAAAAGAAATAGGTTTACACATTAATTTCAGATTTTATTTAACACAGCTAACCCAGACTTTTGGGTTTTTCAAGGCTCTACTTGCTTCCTTTGACAAGTTCACAAGTACATTTTATACTTACTTTCCCTGTTCCTGCACTGTATAAACCCAAGAAGACAAAACCCAAGAAGACAAGCAATTATTTTAGACAATTCTGGCAGCAAGCCACCTTTCCTTTATTCCCAACTCTACCTGTTGTTAGTGATCTGAGATGAGGAACTCCATGAAAAAAAGGCCATGATCAGTGGCCTACTAAATGGAGGGACATTTTTTATTTCACTTTTCCTGCTCTCTAGATTCTTGGTCTTTTATTCTAGTTAATCTATTCCTGGGATTATATTCTGCTCTACTGGTGATAAAGACAAAAGCCCTGGTACACTAATGTTTTCCTCATCTGTACACAGACCAAAGAAATCAAAGACACCAGCCAGCTTATAGTAGTGCAAAGAAGAAAAACATTTTTACATAGACATACTATTGAAAAGGTTAAAGGTAAATAATTTACTTTTCATCTTTCCACTTGTTCACTAGAATATTCTTCAGTTTATCTACAGTTACTCTGTCCAAATTATTATTATTCCATAAAATACTCAAATACTCTAGGTAAACCTGCTAGATATAGGAATAAGGTTAATACTTTAGTACACTAAAAATAATAATTTGTAATATGATGATCCCCCAAGATACACTAAACTTCATCTTTAAAATAGACAGCAAATTTTCTTTAAGCAAGCATACAATAATAATTTTTATATTACAGATGAAGGTGTCTTAAAAGACTAATGTTTAAAGTTCTATAATCATAGCGCAAGCTAGAAAATTTTCAGGTTTCTAGTAATGTAACAAGAGCAAAACCCTACCTGTTCCTCTGTAAATTTGAGTCATATACTTTATGTTTTACAAGACCACAGTGTTCTATACATGAGAAGATATGTTCAGGGAAGTCCCAACAAGATGGATAATGCGTAAGAAATCCACTTACAGATATCATCAGTGGTATCTTCTGAACTTTTACCTCCACAACACATAATAAAAGGCAGTCTTCGCTCAACCACTGCCCGACACTGCACACACTTTTTCATCAGGTTAGCACAGTCTGGAAAATAATGAATAAGAAGAGGGTTGCCTTTCTCTGCTCATTCTTATAATTTTAACACTGAGATAAAACACATCCTGCAGGCCAAACCCAACCAGTAGACTATTTTTGTAAATAAAGTTTTAATGGAAAATAGTCCAACCCTTTCATCAACATAGTCTATGGCTGCTTTGGCACTAAAATGGCAGAGTTGGGTAGTTGAAAACAGAAACTACACAGCCCACAAATCAAAAATATTTATCATTTAACCTTTTGCAGAAAAAAATTTGCTAACTTCTGCACTATGAAAACTTACATAGCTTGAGCTCGTGTAACTTAAAACAGAATTATCTTTCTACATGCACTCTGACCACTGATCATTATACCATAGGCATTATACCAGTCTTTGGTAAACAGAAACAATTACTTGTAGCAGAATGCTACAGTAGAAAACCTTAATCCAGTGGTTCTCAACCTTGGCTGCACATTAGAATCACCAGGGAATCTTTTGAAAATCCTGATTTCTGGGCCTCATCCTCCGGAAATTCTATTTCTTTGTTACTAATGTTGTGGCCCCACCCCATAACAAAGAAACAGAATTTCCGGAGGATGAGGCCCAGAAATCAGGATTTTAAAGATTCCCTGGTGATTCTAATGTGCAGCCAAGGTTGAGAACCACTGCCTTAATCCTTTCTTTAGTTGAACTGCCTATCAGAATGAAAAAGCAAATCTAGGTTACTGAGATTTATCTACCATGCAATTTGTATATTATGTTAGAAATATTAAAAATCAATACCTACTGAGTGAACCATTTTATAATAGGAGTTACCATGCTTTTACCTTGGGCCCATTTAAATAAGGTATCATTTATTAAATGTGTTTAAAATCCTTCACTGAAAAATGTAAAAAGCAAAGGGGAGATAATAGTAACACTGAAAAAGTATGAACTTGAAAAGAATAAAGGGGATATATAAAGGCAAAGTTTAAAACATCTCTTAAACTTTAATATTATCCTCATGAAGAAAAGATTTTTATAAGTTCTCTTGACATAGAGATTAAACTAAGAATGGCTAAGAAGGCCAGAAATTATAACCCCAAATATTGCTGTGGGTGGCTCAGTATTGGGTAAATTATGCAAGAAAAGCAATATTAAGGTGAAGACGAAGATGTGCTAATTTTTTTTTTTAATATGTTTTTTATTGATTTTTTTACAGAGAGGAAGGGAAAGAGGTAGAGAGTTAGAAACATCAATGAGAGAGAAACATCGATCAGCTGCCTCCTGCACATCCCCCACTGGGGAAGTGCCTGCAACCCAGGTACATGCCCTTGACCGGAATCGAACCTGGGACCTTTCAGTCCGCAGGCCGACGCTCTATCCGCTGAGCCAAACCGGCTTTGGCAAGATGTGCTAATTTTATACGTGAGAAAGGACTAGACCAGCGGTTCTCAACCTGTGGGTGGAGATCCCTTTGGAGGTCGAACGACCCTTTCACAGGGGTCGCCTAAGACCATCAGAAAACACATATATAATTACATATTGTTTTTGTGATTAATCACTATGCTTTAATTATGTTCAATTTGTAACAATGAAAATACATCCTGCATATCAGATATTTACATTACGATTCATAACAGTAGCAAAATTACAGTTATGAAGTAGCAACGAAAATAATTTTATGGTTGGGGGTCACCACAACATGAGGAACTATATTAAAGGGTCGTGGCATTAGGAAGGTTGGGAACCACTGGACTAGACAAAATGTTTCAACATTCATTTTTAGAAATATGTGTGTGAGAAGCGATCATTTTGTGCTAAAACAAATAAAATCAAAATTTGACATAGTGGAACCCAGCATATTTAGTATTCTTTAAGGCTCAGGAGCAAGGAGGAAAATAGGTGGCATTCTGGTTGAAAGAAAGAAATAGAAGGTACTAGAGGCCCACCAACTTTGTTGTTCATAAGTTATCAAAAAATGTGTTTCATTTTCTATTTTTATAGGCTGAGGAAGTTTGTATAGGCTGTAGAGAGCACCTGGGAAGGCACATGGGCATTTCTTTAATTATTGTCAGCTGAAGCCAAAGCCACGTCCTGGAAACACGTTTTGCCAAAAGGCAGGAGTGTTGTCAGCTTGACCTTCAGCCCAGGTGCCAGGGGGTGGGTTTTGTTATTTAAATCCAGCCAAGCACCAAGAATGAATACAACTCGGGCCCACCCAAGAATGCAAATAATCTCCTTTGTCTTGACTTTTAGTAAAACTTCCTGTTTTTTGCTCTATAAAATAAACAGGCTGTATCAGCTCTGGGTCACTGTCTCTGTCCCTGTCCCGATTAGAGGACAGCTGTCCCACCTGGCCCCAGCTTTTTTCTTCCATCTCTGTGTCTGTCTCTTTCTCTCATTTTCTCAATCCCCAGCCGCCCCTGCTCAGGAACCAGACTGCTCTCTAGTCGTGCTGGATGCGGAGTAGAGAGACATATTTACAATAGGCTACTTACTCTCACAAGCACACATGTGTCCACATGGTTGAAAAAGAACAGCTGCTTTCTTGTCTGAGCATACCACACATTCTTCAATCTACAAAAAAGAGGTTACACAGCAGAAGGGTGAACATCTACAGATAAAACTCTAAGTTTCTTTTGTATACAAATGTATTTCCTCTGTAAGGAAACACTCTGGGCATGAGAAATTTAATACATACTTCTCTGTCCTCTACTTTCTTGGTTACTCATTTTCCCTGCTTAGCAGGTTCTAGCTCCACTTTATTCTTCCTACCTGTCCTAAAGAATAATATAAAAAACTCTATTTCCTCTGAAGTTAGGTAGACCAGACTAGACTTCAATTTTCTTTTCTTTTTTTTCAAAAACTACTTTTGGGAGAAAAAATAAAAGAACAAATGACTAATATCAAAATAGATTTCCAATACTAATAGAAATTTAACCAGACTGCTAAAACCCAAGGGGATTTTTCTGTTTACCCACATCTGAGAAATGCTACCTAACACACCCAAGACCGTCAATTCTCCAACACTGGCTAGAGCCAAAAGTTTTGCGCTATTCTTTCTCTCTGATTTCTAAAGTCTCCCACAATCTATCCATAGTTTCTCTCAATTTTACCTCCTCTTCATCAGTTAATATGAGTTTTGAGTGTATAACTATTTCTTAACTTTGGCTTCTTTTATCCCCCACTCACCTATTCTTCTCCCTTATGACACACATTTAATTTATCCACATCTTTTTTTATTGAATATTACAACTCACCTATAACTTCATCTAAACAACCAAACAATGCATGCATGCTCACTCTCCCTGGACTTTCCAACTTACACCCTATATGTGCAGAGAATTTATACAGTTGTAGGAACACGGGAAAGCAGTAAGACATTGTATTTATATTCCTGGATTCAAATTCCAGAGCCAGTACTAACAAATTGCCTAATATTGTTGAGCTGCTGCCTTTTACAACTCTGAATGCTAAAGAACAATCCTTCACAGGGTAGTAAAGAGTAAATTAGAAGATAGGGAGAGGAGTCAGGTGACCCTTATTCAAGTATACCCTGAGACTGTGAGGACATAACTGAACTATGATATAGCAATAGGGAAGAGTAGAAAGAGTATTGAGAACATTTAAGAAGACTTGGTAACTAATAAAAAGTGAGGAATGAATGGTGTAGAAGTCTAGCACATATGCTAAGTTTCTGACTTAACTACTGATTCCAAACAGTTGAAAGAAGCAAATTTCAGTCTTCTACAGCTCATAGTACTAAGACTAGGGCAGTGATGGCGAACCTTTTGAGCTTGGCGTGTCAGCATTTTGAAAAACCCTAACTTAACTCTGGTGCCATGTCACATATACAAATTTTTTGATATTTGCAACCATAGTAAAACAAAGACATATTTTTGATATTTATTTTATATATTTAAATGCCATTTAACAAAGAAAAATCAACCAAAAAAATGAGTTTGTGTGTCATAGGTTCACCATCACTGGACTAGGGTGTTCTTTCCATCTCTAGGATTATACATCCAGGCTTCAGTCCAATTCAAGGTCTGATTACAGTGAAAGGAATGGTTGGTTCCCTTCAGTATAGTCATATAGCCCGCAACTGATTAAAAACACTTAGCAGTAAACCTCCAGAATTGTGGGGTGGGGAGCAAAAATAGGAAAACCTGGACATGGGTGGCTAAGGGGCCCATAGCCTGAGGTAAGTATACTAATTTTAATAACTCCCAAAAGAGGTTTTCCTCCCCCATGAAAGGAGACTGGCTAGGGCTGGACCTTGGCTAAGTCTCAAAGATGTCAGTCAGCCATCTATTTGGCTGGCTAGTAAACTAAACAGAAAAGCAGGAACAATCTGGGTGAAAGAGGAAATAAAAATTCCAAATGTTAGCAACTGGGGACATAGACAAAAGTGTTAAGGGCAATGATGACAGGGAGGTGAAACTCTAATCTAACCTTGGTATATAAGGAGTATTTTTTCCTATAATATTTTAAGAACTACTGTGCTAAGTACTGATGAAAGATTAAAATGTAACAATGAACAAAAAGAGTAAGTTAAATGTTATGAGTAACATGTTTAGTTCAATGTCTAATATAGAATCTGTGCCGAATTCATGAGAATTCTCTTCACCTCAAGAAACCAAGATGGCGGCATAGGTAAACACAGAAGATTGCTGCCTCCCACAACCACTTCAAAAATACAACTAAAAGACAAAACGGACATCATCCAGAACCACAGGAAGGCTGGCTGAGTGGAAATTCTACAACTAGAAGGAAAGAGAAAAGCACACTGAGACTCAGAGGAGGTGCGGAAGTAAAGTGCAGAGGTATGGAGGCACACGTAGAAAGGGCTGGCAGCTGGCAGCTGAGGACGCGGCGCACGTGGAAAGGGCTGGCAGCTGAGGATGCGGCGCACGTGGAAAGGGCTAGCAGCTGAGGACGCGGTTGTCTTTTTCAATCGGGAGGGAGTCTCAAGCTCCTGACTGCTCTGAACTCCAGTTCCGGGCGAGTCTCTGGGGACCCAGACTCATATGGTGAGAAACTGGACTATCTGGCACCAGGAGAGGAATGTGAGGGCGGCTTTCTCACAGAGGTGCTTGCAGCAATTACTGGGACACTGAGAAGCAGGGCCTCTTAGGGTAGGCCTGAGGAGCAGCCATAGCTGCTTGCTCCGCCCTGTTGATCCCCAGAGACCCCACCCCACCCAAGCTGTGCACAGAGGCTTTTGCATATGAAAGGTCTGGCCCTTTGCAATCTGAAAATTACCTAACAAACTGCAGCTGGGTCTGAGAAACCCAGAACTTCCAAAAGAAGGCCCAAGGCCCCACAGCAGCTTGAAATGCTTCACAGCTGGGCTCCTGCTGGGTAGCCTCAGGAAGAGGCTAAATTAGCACCTCCTTAGAGATCCAAGAGCCAGTGTACCCAGTGGTCAGAGTGGGATCATCCAGATTACAACTCCTCAGATCCATAAGGGACACACCCAGGGGGCAGACTCAGTGAGCACTAAAGCCCCACTGAAGCAAGTCTTGCCCCAGAAGGGTGTCTACAGCACAGAAGTTCTCCCACTGCAGACACAGCTGATTCTCACAGCCAATTGGCCTGGAGGTCAATTCCTCCCAGTGATACCTACAACAATCAAGGCTTAACTACAACAAGACTGAGCACAAAGCCCACAAGGGGGTGCACCAAGAGTGTCTACCTCAGGTAATTGGGGAGGCTGAGCCACTGGGCCCTATAGGACACCTAGCACAGAAAGCCACACTATCAACACAGGGAAGCATAAAAAATGCGGAGACAAAGAAACAAGACACAAATGACAGAAATGGAGGGAAGCAAACTACTGGATATAGAGTTCAAAACCACACTTATAAGGTTTTTCAAGAATTCTCTGGAAACTGCCGATAAACTTAGTGAGACCCTCAAGAAATCTAGTGAGACCCTCGAGGTTATAAAAAAGGAACAACTAGAAATTAAGCATACACTGACTGAAATAAAGAATATTATACAGAGTTCCAACAGCAGACTAGAAGATCACAAGAATCAAGTCAGGCCGAAACCGGTTTGGCTCAGTGGATAGAGCGTCAGCCTGCAGACTGAAAGGTCCCAGGTTCGATTCCGGTCAAGGGCATGTACCTTGGTTGCGGGCACATCCCCAGTAGGAGATGTGCAGGAGGCAGCTGATCGATGTTTCTCTCTCATCGATGTTTCTAACTCTCTATCTCTCTCCCTTCCTCGCTGTAAAAAATCAGTAAAATATATTAAAAAAAAAAAAAAAAATCAAGTCAAAGATTTGAAATACGAAGAAGCAAAAAACACCCAACCAGAAAAGCAAAAAGAAAAAAGAATCCAAAAATATGAAGATAGTGTAAAGAGCCTCTGGGACAACTTCAAACGTACCAACATCCGAATTATGGGGGTGCCAGAAGAAGGGAACAAGATATTGAAAACCTATTTGAAGAAATAATGACAGAAAACTTCCCCTACCTGGTGAAAGAAATAGACTTACAAGTCCAGGAAGCGCAGAGAACCCCAAACAAAAAAAATCCAAAGAGGACCACACCAAGACACATCATAATTAAAATGCCAAGAGCAAAAGACAAAGAGAGAATCTTAAAAGCAACAAGAGAAAAAAAGTCAGTTACCTACAAGGGAGTACCCATTGTACGACTGTCAGCTGATTTCTCAACAGAAACTATGCAGGCCAGAAGGGAGTGGCAAGAAATATTCAAAGTGATGAATACCAAGAACCTACAACCAAGATTACTTTACCCAGCAAAGCTTACATTCAGAATTGAAGGTCAGATAAAGAACTTCACAGATAAGAAAAAGCTAAAGGAGTTCATCACCACCAAACCAGTATTATATGAAATGCTGAAAGGTATCCTTTAAGAAGAGGAAGAAGAAGAAAAAGGTAAAGATACAAATTATGAACAACAAACACACATCTATCAACAAGTGAATCTAAAATCAAGTGAATAAATAATCTAATGAATAGAATAAGCTGGTGAATATAATAGTATCAGGGGCATAGAAAGGGAGTGGACTGACTATTCTTGGGGGAAAGGAGTGTGGGGGGTGCGGGAAGAGACTGGACAAAAATCGTACACCTATGGATGAGGACAGTGGCGGGGGCAGGGAGGTTTAAGAGCAGAGGGTGGGGTGGGAACCATGTGGAGGGGAGCTATGGGGGGGAAAAAGAGGAACTGTGATAATCTGAAAAATAAAGAATTCTCTTCACCTCTCTATATATAATGATGTGCAGTTTTTTATAAAAGGTTCCTAATGCAACTTTCTATGTATCTGAATTGTTTATAAAGACTTTAAAATAATCTAGCAAATTTATTTACCCAATCCCCTATTAAAAAAAAAAAAAAAACACTTTATAACCATAACTTTTTTCCTCTTCTGGAATTTTTCCTCAGGTTATATACCCAGGAATGAAATTAGTATATTAACCCTTTGAGTGCCAACCAATATCTTAGGAACTATGCTAAAATTGCCAAGGCATTTTTGCTGATTTTACAGCAGTTTAGGAAAAAAATTATGAATCGAAAGTAAATGAAGTTACATATTCAATTTTAGAACTACAAACATTTGGCATCATAAGTAATCTGCACTTAGGTGCCATCTGTCAATAAAGAGTGAACTATTAGCATCTAATAGTGACACTGCAGGAGGAGCGTGATAGCGCTCCCGGCACTTTTGGTGAAAAACAGGAGGAGCACGATCGAGCTCCCCAGCACTCTAGGGCAGTGATGGCGAACCTATGACACGCATGTCAGAGGTGACACGCGAACTCATTTTTTTGGTTGATTTTTCTTTGTTAAATGGCATTTAAATATATAAAATAAATATCAAAAATATAAGTCTTTGTTTTATGATGGTTGCAAATATCAAAAAATTTGTATATGTGACACGGCACCAGAGTTAAGTTAGGGTTTTTCAAAATGCTGACACGCCGAGGTCAAAAGGTTCGCCATCACTGCTCTAGGGGTTAAAGTATGTTTATTATGAAGATTTGTGTATGTACAGTGTGAGGATGGTCTCTCAAAAATGTGAAGCATTTATGCAGCCTCCAGCAGTTAAAAGAGTAACCAGCCTGGCCAGTGTGGCTCAATAGTTGAGCATTGACCTATGAACCAGGAGGTCATGGTTCAATTCCCAGTCAGGGCACATGCCCGGTAACGGGCTCAATCCCCAGTAGGGGGTATGGAGGAGGCAGCTGATTAATGATTATCTCTCACTGATGCTTCTCTCTCTCTCTCTCTCTCTTCCTCTCTGAAATAAATAAAATATATTTGAAAAAAAAGAGAGTGCCCATTTCCCACTCCCCTAGATAGTTTTTTAAAATTTATTTTCACTAATTTGATAAGAATAGTTAATAAAAATTCATAATTTTTTGTTAATCCTCACCCGAGGATTTTTTTTCCGTTGATTTTTAGAGACAGTGGAAGAGAGGGAAAGACAGAGAGAAATATCAATGTAAGAGAAGCACATCGATTGGTTGCTTCCTACACGCCCCGGCCAGGGAGGAGCCTGCAACTGAGGTACATGTCCTTGACAGGAATGAAATCTGGGAGCCTTTGGTCTGCAGGCCGACACTCGATCCAGAACCAAACCGGCTAGGGCAATAATTCATAATTTTAAAATTTGTATTTCTTTAATTGCTGAAGAAACTAAGCTTATTTATTCTCCCTTCCTCCAATTACTAGTTTTATAATTTATCTTCATTGAAGATGTGTATATCTTTTAACCACTTGGGGTCACTATTTCTTTATCTTCAAAGGCTGCAACCAATCTGGCAAATCTATTTGGTGGGTATGTTAGTTTTTGTACTTTTCTACAAGTTTGAAAATTTCATAGTTTAAAAACAAACTGAAAGATTACTAATTCTTAGAATTCAGAACTGGCCTAAAAAAATGACAGCATATTCCTTCCACTCAACCTCCCTGTTCTATCAATCCTCCCTTGTAGACACTGTTTTTCATTTTGTCTGTGTATTTTAACACAGTAGAAAGAACTTAAGAATCAAGAGAACTGCATTATCATCCAACTGTTTGTGTACTTCCTGGAGCACCAGTTTTTCCACCAGTAAATACTACAGTTGGACTAGAAGACAATAGGGCTATTCCATATCTGAGACTCTGCTGAGGCTCTGAACTCACTATACTAGTACATGTCTTAAAGCACCTACAACATCCTATATGGCAGAGCAACTCTTAACCTAAGTCACAGTTTGCCAAGAGATTATAAATTTTTAGCAGGAAATTATCATATACATCTATATCTTGACTACACAACAAGTCAATAAAGGTTTGTTGGAATAGGCTTAATATAACATAAAGTCTCAAGCACAAAAGCAGAATACACAGACCAATCTAAAAACAAAAGAATGGCTTGGGTGTTTATTCTTTCAGATTCTTTCCCAAACTGTTACTTTGTAAGCAGCTAACTAAGGTAAGTTATTAGTGCCAAGTAGAATAATCCACATTTATTTATTAACCAAAGTTGACAAATAATGCATATAAAATGCCAATACAGTGCCCAGCATACAATCAGTGTTATTAGTTCATCCTCCTCACCTTTACTAATAGGTAAAGCAGCTACACACACACTCAAGTATCTCCTATCCAAAAATAACTTCCTCATACTTTTTCCTATGCCAAAATCTTACCAAAGATATAGTCATTTGGATCATAGCAACAACAACAACAAAATCCAGTCTTAGAAGGTTCCATATGAAAATGTGAGAAGCACTGGTAAGGTAACACCTTTTAAGTTACTGCCTGCTAATTCATTAGGATAATTAGTGCCAGGTCCTTTCTAATTAATGAGTAGATTAGAAAGCATCAAGAGAAAAATGAAAAGAATAAAAAATCAGAATGGAAAAAACTTCATAAATGAAACCAAAGAAAACCAACATGTTTGGTTTAAGCTCCTCACCTTGAGGAATCATTTGTAAGAAACTTAAATCTCACCTTACACACACACACACACACACACACACACACACACACGGAAAAACTAAAAATGAAAATCCATTATTTCAGTAAACCAAAATGAGTAAGCCAGCACAGTGATGATAAAGCACTGAGTTTCCCTGGGAAAAGAATGAAACCAGTAACCTAGAAAAGAATATCTCTTAAAAAGAAAAAGGAGTCTGACAAGATGAAAAGTTCAGAGTGGATACAGAATTTGGCCATCACTAATTGCAGGATGATCAAACTTTATTTGCCTCCTTGTAGGAAATGATACAAAACGAGTAGCATCATCTGTGACATTTTCTTGCAAAAAATGTTTAAGCAGATCCTAATCAAGCCATTAGACCTACCTTCCAGTCTACAGGAAATATAGAGGCTATAGAAAAACAAACTAATGCCATGATCAATAAATCAAACAAATCCAGAATATGTGACATTCTACAAAAAAAACTTATAGTCTTTACAAAGATAAATACAAAACAGTTCATGTACTCAGAAAGGGGGCAATTTATAAGTAACTACAAAACAAAATGGAATCAAATATATCTTTAGGTTATAGGTGCTCTGAAAGCAAAATAGTAGATTATTTTTAATGACTATAATTTATATATAAAGAAGGAATCTCCTAAGTGGTCTCAATAAATATATAAATTATACATTCCTATATTTAGAACAGAAGAACAAAATTAAATAGACACAAGGCATCTTATAACTTTATTTATCATTAATTGTAGTTTCAAAGATCTCCATAAAATTATAAAATATCATATTAAAAATATATTACCTTTGTCCTAGATTGAACTTGTTCTTTACAGATGAGGCATTTCTTGACTCGTGGAGAACATAAAGAACAGGTAGCAATATGTCCACATGGGCCAAAAAGAGTATCTCTCTTCATATCTGAGCACACCATACACTCTTCTAAGGTTTCAGAATCATTACTAATCATAGAAGGACTTCGAGAACCCACTTGACCACTAATAAAAGAAAATATTTCAAATCAAGCATATCAGAATATTTATATTACAAATTCAATAGTTAAAATGGTTTTAAAAACATCTAGAGCATCATTAGTATATATAAAAATAGCTTTAGTTGTTAAAAAATTAAGCATCTGTATATGAAACACTGTATACTATATTTTTCTATTTTATAATCATCTCTGCATCTTCACCTATTTGTAGTACTATTTGAAATACAAATTGTACAAGTTCTCACACACTGGAAAACAGTGAATCCAAATCTTCTAACACAGAAATAAAAAACACAAGTTAAAAATTTCGCATAAACACAGTTTCACTCAGAACTTGTTTTGCTTATGTAGAACCAGCCGAGAAAGGTATAAGAATAAAAAGAAAATCCTAACTAGAGTCCACGTTAGTTATCCTAACTACAGACAGGAAGAAATGAAGCGTCTATAAAGTCCACAACTGACAAGGGCACTTGGAAAATAAGTCACTGCAGCTGCTGTTCCAACATTTCTTTAATTGTATCCTTAGGGAGCAAAAATTCTATTACAGGAAGACAATGCAGCTATACATATAAAGATACAAGACATAGAAATACATGTATATGAACAACTAGTCTTCAGAAACTCATGAAATGCACCCGCACACCAGCGCATGCACACACACACAAACACACACACACACAAAGCAGTTTCATCTTAGAGCTCAGTCTTAAAGTTATTACTGCAGTAATTACAGTGCCTTGTATCTATATGTTTTAGATTCATTCTGTCATCCTATAATAGAATTTTATGCCCCTTAAGGTTAGACTTAAAGAAATGTACATAACTCATTATATTAATTTCCCTGTAACACTACTTTATGCATGGATTCCAAAGAGATGTCTTTTCATCACTACACAAATTGTAAGAGAGGCAAGAGAGTACAGAGAGCACAAAGATCAAGGGACAACTCCTGAAATGTTCAATAACAAGAAAGAGGTATAAAGGGCAATTATAGTTGTATAGCATCATTTGGATGAAAAACTAATGAGATGTACCTTTTGTATGACTATAATTTCAATAAGAAATTTAGTTGTTATCATAAATAATTAAAATCACCAACACATTTTACTTTTAGAAAAGAAGGCAAGTGTGAGATGATCATTTTTAAAAAAACTCCATCAGGAAGTGGTTCATTCATTTGTTTAACTTTTCAATTCTTCAATGATACTTACTGAGTGCCTATCAGGCACTGTGCAGGGTGCTAGATTATTAGAGTTTGTATGAGATATATTCTGTTAGCAAGTAAACTGCCTTTCTTTGCAAGAGTCTATTAAAATTTTAAATACACATAACATTAATCACAGCAATTTCACTAGTGAGAACTTTTCTTATAGACAAGTTTCTCTAACATACAGGAGTACTGGAAGATCCGACTGGCTCAGAAAAGTTTCTTAAATTTATTATTCATAAAGTATTATCCTATATAACAGCGGTTCTCAACCTGTTGGTCGCGACCCCTTTGGTGGTCGAATGACCCTTTCACAGGGGTTGCCTAAGACCATCCTGCATATCAGATATTTACATTACAATTCATAACAGTAGCAACACTACAGTTATGAAGTAGCAACGAAAATAATTTTATAGTTGGGTCACAACATGAGGAACTATATTTAAAGGGCCAGAAGGTTGAGAACCACTGCTATATAATAAAAGGTTAATTAATATGCAAATCAACTGAATGGCAGAACGACCAATCGCTATGACGCACACTGACCACCAGGGTGCAGACACTCAACCCTGGAGCTGCCCCCTGGTAGTCAGTGCACTCCCACAGGGGGAGCACCACTCAGCCAGAAGCTGGGCTCATGGCTAGTGAGCACAGCGATGGTGGCAGGAGTCTCTCCCGCCTCCACGGCAGCGCTAAGGATATCCAACTGCCAGCTTAGGCCCGCTCCCAAGGGCTCCCGGACTGCGAGAGGGTGCAGGCGGGCTGAGGGATCTCTTCCCCCCCCTCCCCCCCCCGCACCGAGTGCACGAATTTCGTGCACTGGGTCTCTAGTATTTAATTACGTAGAGAATACAACATAAGAGACATGATCTCTATGGGAAAATTTTTTAAGAAAGAGCCAACACAAAGATAGAGGAATAGCATGATGTATTATAAAATTGTACACCTGAAACCTACATAATTTTCTTAACCAATGTTGCCCAATAAATTTAATTTAAAAAAAAAAAAGGAAAAAAGGTAGAAGAAGAGCAAAGACAAAGGCATTTGCAAGTAGTCTGTTATGAAACTACATGATACCTCATGCATAAAATATCAAGTTTTATGATAAATATAATACAAACCTGACTTTTTCTTTATGACATTTTGCCAGTGCTTTGCAGAGACTTGGATCAGGACAGAGATCAAGTGGTGATTGACCCTTCTTATTTCGAATGCTAAGGTCAGCACCATTAGCAGCCAAGAAACAGGCAATAGATGCTGCACTCTTCTTCTCTGCCCCCTGGGTACCAAGTCCCATTATTAACTGAAATCAAATGAAAAAAGAGTCATTATTTTCTCTTTATCAATTCCTACCACCAATATAGGGTGGGGAAAAGTAGGTTTACAGTTGTGAATATGTGAAACACAGCTAATTCTTGCATTATTATTTATTATTATATTATTTCCCTTAAAAACTACTGTAAACCTACTTATACCCCACATATATGATGTGTATATAGAATATGTACATACATATTCATACATGTACACATGTATGTATGTGTGTGTATGTGTGTGTTATATATAAAGATGCATGTCTGGTAAGAATTTACAGGTCATATAAATATGGTGGACATTGATAAGTTGCAGCCCTAATATCCATTCCCCCTTCCCCTGTAGCCCCACTTTTCTCAGGCAGATGTTTGAGGATTGGCATACTCTCCACTTTAGAGGTAGACCATGATGAATCAAACCAGTCAGATATCAACCTGTCTGTGTGATTAGTTCAGGGATGACATATAACCCAAGTCAGGTCAATTAAGGCCAATAAAACTCAAGAACAGGACTTCTGATTGAGATGCTAAAGAAACAGTACTTTCTTTTCTTTTGGTTCTGGAGCTACTAGGAATCAACTTGAAACAATAAGGGGAGAGACAAGTAAGAAAAGAACCAGTACCTAGGAATTAAGCCAAGAAATGGAGAACAAAACAAATCAGGTTCTGTTATCTAACTATTCACTCAAACATCTTACCAGAAAACAGTCATAATAATTGTTAACATTTACAAAGTGTCTACAATGAATCAAGAATTATTTTAAGCACTTTCCATAAATTAATTTAATTTTCATAACCTTATAGAGATAGTTATTCCCTTTCCCTCATTTTAAAATGAGAAAAATGATGCACACAGGAGTCAGAGCAGCAATTCTCAAACACTTTGGTCACAGAACCCCTTTACATTCTTAAAAATGAATCTCAAATTCATATGGGAAGGTGAAGGACTCAGGATAGTCAAACAACTTTGGAAGAAAAAAGTTAGAGGTTTTATACTATCTTATTTCAACATTTATTATAAAACTACAGTAATCAGCCCGGCTGGCATGGCTCAGTGGTTGAGTATTGACCTATAAACCAGGAGGTCACAGGTTCGATTCCCAGTCACGGCACATGCCTGGGGTTGTGGGCTCGATCCCCAGTAGGGGGCATGCATGGCAGCCGACGCATGGTTCTCTCTCATCATGGGTGTTTCTATCTCTCTCCCTCTCCCTTCCTCTCTGAAATCAATAAAAATATATTTGAAAAAATAAAAACAACAGTAATCAAGACAGTGGGCTGGTATCACATAGCTAAAGACAAGAGTTCTAAACATACATCAACAGAACAGAATATCAGATTCAGAAAGACTTCACATACATGGTTAAAATTGATTTTGGATAAAGATACAGCAGGTGATTCAGTACAAAATGACAGTCTTTTCAACAGACAGTGCTGGACTAAATGAGTATCCACAAGCTGGGGGAAACCATGTGGATGTCACACACCTGATTAAAAAACCTGCATTCAGATTATATATAACTCTCAAAACTCAATAGTAAGAAAACAGCTCAACAAAATAATGAACAAACATTCATCAAACAGATGTGGGTGGCAAAAAAGCCAAAGAAAAGATGTTTGATATTAGTAGTCATTAGGGAGATGACTTTCAGTGGTACTAAATTAAAGATTATCTCTACTCACAGTGTTTTTGGATGGCTCCCAGGCAGCATCGACCTTGCCCACATCTTGCATATCCTGGAGCTGACGTAGCTGAGACAAGGTGTGGTGCCTCAGAGCTTCATGCAAAGGAGTATCCCCATCCTTATCCTGAATATCTAATTTGGCACCTGCACGGACCAAAAGCTACGAGAGAAAGACATCTCATTTTGCTACAGTATCCCCACCCACAAGAAATTACAGCATATCTAAAGCAATAGTGAGAGAGCCCACCTGGAGGAGCTGCCACTAGTGATTCTTATGTATTTGCTTGCTACTACTCTATAACCCTGCGGCTCCTTACAAATAGTGATGATTCTGGGTATCGAATTAAAGAAAACAAAGAAATGAGAACCAGTGGTTGAGTATTTAATTGAGTATTTAATTCCTTTTAATTCATCTACCCTAAGATCAAAATAACTGGAGAAATTTTAGGACTTTTTTTCCTTTTAATTTCAGACATGTGAAGTGGGATATTTTAAGTACTTCTAATAGGACCAAATAATAATGTTCAAAATTATTCTATTATTTAAACACATAAGGAGAAGTTATTTTTTATTCCATTCTCTTTGATCAGTTTTCTTGAAATGTATGCTCATAGGGAAGTCCAAATATCATAGATAAATTAAGAATTTTTAGCAAGAGGAATTTTAAATAACAATAAATGTGAAGTGTTTGCTAAACTACAACATAAAATGCAGAGTTGATATATTTCAATAGATATTTTAAGTAGTAAATATAACTTTAAGATTTTGCTTGTGGTGCTTTAACAATTTTTATAATCCTTTCTACAAATGCTATCAGAGTTTTCGAAAACCAGCATACATAGAAACCAATCTCAAACATATAGTCTTACCTATCTTGGCAAACAGTTTTTTTTATTTGTTTGTTTTTATTTGTTTATTTTTGTTAATTCTCACCCAAGGATATTTTTCCATTGATTTTGAGAGAATGTGTGGAAGTGAAAGGGAGAGACAGAGAGAAACATCGATGTGAGAGAGACATATCAATTGGCTGCCTCCCAAACACACCCCAACTAGGGCGCCAGGATCGAACCTGCAAGCAAGGCACATAATCGATCCTGGGACCCTTCCATCTACAGGCTAAAGCTCTACCCACTGAACAAAACTGGCTAGGGCTTGGCAAATTGTTTTTACTTGTTTGTTTGTTTTTACTTTGTTTCAAAAAGATTACATACAATTTCGTTCCAGGGCAGTGTTTCTCAAATTTGAACGTGTATCAGAATTACCAGGCTTATTAAATCAGATTGCTGCCAGTTCCCACCCCTGGAAGTTCTGATTTGATTGGTATGAGGTGGGGCCCCAAAATTTGCTTTTCTACTAAGGTCACAGGTAACAACGCTGATGCTACTGGTTCAGCCTCCACACTTTAAGAATCACTGCTCTACCAAAAAATTTTTTAAAAGATAATCTTTCAAATACTTTGTCTAGAATCACCAGGTTAATAAAATAAAAACCTTTTATTTGGAATCAATGCAGCAAACATCCAGCCAAAGTTTTAAATTACAATTCAGTCTCAATTATATAAATTAAGAGGGAATGTACTTTTTAAAAACTAATTTATAAGCTACTTTGAAATTCTTTGATTTAATATTCTGGGAATTCACAAATCTGGAAAATTATAAAAACTTTAAATATCAGAGTTTTAAGATATTCCCTACTATAAATTAAACTGATATAAAATAGTCTAAAATCATAATTTTTACATATAACTCTGCCTTCTGAGAAATCTAACAATGTGTTACTTAAATTCCCAAAACATTCTAGAAATCTGTCTAGTTAAACTACAACTGCAAACTAAGATTCATGTTAGTAAGCACTTTACCCTAACAATCTGGGTGTGCTGTCGTTCAACAGCGAGATGGAGGGCCGTTTGTTGGTTCACATTCTGGATATCCAGGTTTGCATTACCCTGAAAAACAACAACAAAGTTTTTATAGTTAAAACTGGGGACTAAAAACCAATGGAAAAATATCTTTGGGTGAGGATTAACAGGGAAAAAAAAGTAACATGCAAAACTGCCTCACATAATGTCTGGCATAATAAAAAATAGGAAATTAAGAAAAGGGCTACTGGTTCAAAAGATTAGACTTTATCATCCTGTTTGTATTAGAATCATTCATGCTCTCTGATTACAACTCTGATACCCAACTGTGCCCTTGCTTGAAGCATCAAGCAGAGCTAAAACTTCAGTAATGCTATGACTGTGAGGAATTTCCTTTTCAAGTTTCCTGAACTTTTCCATCATTTAGATTTTTCAAAGTAGTAAGTATGCACTGTATGGATGTACCATAATTTGATTATCCGGCACCAGCTGGTGAACATTTGGCTTGCTTCCACTTTGAAACTATTATAAATAAAGCTGCTACAAATATTTGTGTAGAAATGTGTCCTTAGCTCTCTTGGGTACATACTCAGAAGTGGAATTGCTAGTTGTATAGTGAAATATGTTTAATCTTATAAGAAACTGCCCAACTGTTTTTTAAAATGGCAACTTTGAAAAAACACCAGCAATGTTCGTGTATTCTAACTGTGCCAACTCCTAATCAACACTTGGCTTTTCTGGACTTTTTAATTTTAATCATTGTAGTTGATAATTAGTAATATCTCAATATGATTATAATTTATTTCCCTAATGACCAATGGTAATTTAAGCAATGTCACAGGATATATGATCAATATACAAAAAATAACTGTATTTCTATACACTAACAATATACAAAATTGAAGTTTTAAAACAATATAATTTATGCCAGGCCAGTGTCAATGGTTGAGCATTGACCCATGAAACAGGAGGTCACAGTTCAATTCCCGGTCAGAGCACATGCCTAGATTGCAGGCTCAATCCCCAATTGGGGTGTATAGGAGGCAGCCGATCAATGATTCTCTCTCATCATTAATGTTTCTATTCCTCTCACTTGCTCTTTCTGAAATCAATAAAAACATATTTTTTAAAAAACAATACAATTTACGATAGCATCAAAACTTAAAGATAAAACTAATATGTATGAGAGCAATCAAACTCCCAGAAAGACTTTTTAAGAGAAACTAATAATCTGATTCTAAAATACATATGGACATTCAAAAGATCCAGAATAGTAAAGCAATTAATTCTGAGAAAGAAGAACAAAGTTAGAGGACTTACTCTAACTGATTTCAAATCTTACTACAAAGCAACAATAACAAAGACGGTGTGTTATTGGTCTGCCATTTGGATTAGGATAAAAAAGAACATATTATAATTAACAATACTTCTAAAAGAATTAATTTTAATAATAAAGGCTTAAAATGGCAGGGGAAAGGTAGTTTAACTTTTGAACTATTTCTTTATCTAAACTGGGGTAGTTTATCTAAACTTGTATAGTTTATGGAGGATCTACCTTATAATCTAGGATTTAATTGCACATAATGTGCTCTCTCCTAAATTTTTCTGCTGTTGCATCTTCTTAACTTGACTCCTTGAAGTCAGGGATCACAGATAATTTTTTAATAACTTCAGTGCTTCTATATGGCATATACTTGATTGAAGCATTTTTAATATTTTGCTGAATATACTAAAACATTATAAACTAAAATAAATAGGTCCCAAAAAAATTCAGTCATAAAAAGTTAAGTTGTCTTATTTTGAAAATGAATGAAATGACTAAGGTGAGTGTATCAGCTATCCAGCCACACATTCCACAGGTCCAGCAGCAATCATGAAGTGAACCCCCAGAGCCTGGCTATAGCCTGGTGTTACCTGATGGCAACTGGCCACATCAGCTTAGATATCAATATGATGGTTCTTGGTCCTGTGGCTGACTAACATTTCCACAACAGTGGCAGTAGTTCTGGGAAATTCCTTATAGTTTTGCTCATTTCATTGGACCAATCCAGGAAGACTGTGCAAAGGGAACACTGGGGACTGAGGGACACACAAGCACACCTTTCCCTCCCTTTAATAATCAGTGTTAGAAGACTGAATGTGTACTATTTCTGAATGTGCATCATCATGGGATTTTACTGTAGCTGGGATTACACTAACAGGTAGCTGATGAACTAATAAATAAATGAATGACAATGGTCTAAAATTGTTAAAAATTATTGAATTGCTTTTCCTACCTGATGTACCAATAATTCAGCCACTTCCACGTGATTATTAAGGGCAGCCAGATGCAAGGCAGTATAACCATCATCTTTCTTCTCATCCACAATCCATGGTCTTGGTAATTTAGATAGTAAAACACGCATTGCACTGAAAGTCAAAGTTATGTTATTTTTATATTTACATATTAGTTTTTTTGAAAAAATATTCAAAAAACCTTTGAAGTCAAATGAAAACATTCCTCTTTAAAGAATATTATGCACAGACAAAAATATTTCAATTTTTCTAAAACTCAAATGTACAGCATTCTAATATTTAAGAAGTAAACAAACTGTTACTAACTAGAAAACAGAATCAAAATAGAATGGGAGTGCTATAGCGAAGAACCATGAGAGACTAAAAATACCAAAGGGTTAAAAAATATACCCTAATAAGGATAACAATTTTGATTTGTGGAATCTCTTAGCTTCAATTTGAATAGTATATACTAGTGGAAGAGTTAATAAAAAACAACCAAGTAACAAAAGTACCAGTGCCAAAAAAAATAGTAATAATAATTGAAACAAATTTTATGTAGCTTGAAGATTAACATGAACTCTGCAGAGAGTTAACAATCTATGTCATTAGGTAGTGCTAAAACCAGCTGATGTCAAAACATATAAAATGGGTCATTATAATCTAATATTTGAAATTTAAGAATCAGAAATAAGGTATTTCCAAAATAAAAAAGGCAGTTATCCTAAAGAGCACCAAAGATCTATATATATAAAAGGCTAATTTGCAGTGTCCCCTCGGAAGTTCGACGGGAAGAGCAGGAGTCCAATCACTCGCTATGACATGCGCTGACCACCGGGGGTGGCACAGAACAAAGGAAGGCCCCAGCTGGCAACCTACAGCCAGGGAAGGAAGGCTCCAGCCAGCAGCCAGAAGGTCCCGATCAGCCCTGATTGCCGGCCGGGCCTAGGGACCCAACCCATGCAGGAAATTCGTGCACTGGGCATCTAGTTAAACCATAAAAGAGCTGGAAAGCTAATTATCAAGAAATGATACTTCTTAGAGAAAAGTAAGCGCATCCCCACCAAAGAAAAGTAAAATTAGAAGCAACTTTTCTTGCCATACACATCAGTAACTTTTCTTAACAGAGATATTTTATGTGGAAAATTCATAATATAATTTGGAGGAAAAAAAATCTCCCTTAACATATTTACCCAGTAATTGTTCTTTAATTTATTTTGCTTTTTTTTTTTTTTTTTGCAATTTTATATTCTATTTTTTAATTAAATTTATTAGGGTGACTGGTTCATAACACCATACAGGTTTCAGTTTTACAACTCAATAAAACATCATCTGAGCACTGCATCGTGCACCAGTTAAGTCTCTTTTTGTCCCCATTTTCCCTTCCTTTGCCCACCTCCACCTAGCCCTAACCCCACTTTTCTTCTGGCTACCACCACACCGTTGTCTGTGTCTATATGCTATAAATGTATGCTTTTTTGCTTAATCCCTTCATCTTCTTTCATCCAGTCCCCATCAGTCTGTTCTCTGTATCCATGAGTCTGTCTCCACTTTGGTTGTTAGTTTATTTTGTTCATCAGATTCTACATATAAGTGAGATTATATGATATTTGTCTTTCTCTGACAAGCTTATTTCACTTAACATAATGATCTCCAAGTTCATCCATGCTGTCACAAAAAGTAAGATTTCTATGTTGGTGTGTTGTTTTTACGGCCAGTAATATTCCATTGTGTATAAATGTACCACAGCTTTTTTATCCACACATCTACTAATGGGCACTTGGGCTGTTTTCAGATCTTGGCTATTTGGAAAAAAATTCCCCTTAACATATTTATCCATTAATTTTTCTTTTTTAAGACTATAACCTAAGATAACTGCTCCACAGCTAAAACGGCAGTAAACACAGGAAATAAAAGCTTTTAAAATTGTTCCAATAGGGTGTAAAAGGTAAAGAATAGTAATATATATTACCCAGGTGATATCCTATATAATAAAAGCCTAATATGCTAAGTATTCAGCCGGCCATTCAACCAATCAAAGCATAATATGCTAATGATATGCTAAGGCCGCTCAACCACTCACTATGACGCACACTGACCACCAGGGGGCAGTCGGCCAGTTGACCAGTCATTATGACGTGCACTGACCACCAGGGGGCAGATGCTACAACCGGTAGGTTAGCTTGCTGCTGGGGTCTGGCTGATTGGGACTGAGCGAGATGGGCCAGGCACACCCTGGAGCTCTCCTGCAGTCCCTCTCCGGCTGGCCAACCTCCCGCCCGCATCCCTCCCCGGCCCCAATCATGCACCGGTGGGGTCCCTCTGCCTGGCCTGCTCCCTCATGCAATCCAGGACCCCTCAGGGGATGTCAGAGAGCCGATTTTGGCCCAATCCCGCATGCCAGGCCAAGGGACCCCACTAGTGCACAAACTTGTGCACCAGGTCTCTAGTATGTGAGATAAAAATTTGAAATAGAGAAATGTCAGAAACGCATAGAGAAATAGTCTGAAGGTGCAGAATATGTGTAAATGAAACTGTAAGTCTCTAAAATAATGAGACTAAGGCCTAATATAAGCCAGAACATGTTTCCTAATGGCAGTGGTTTATGAATCCCATATAGCAAGTCCAAGAAGTCTGAGAACAGATTTTGGAAGATCCAAGAACCTCAAAAACTATACCCAAATTTGAAAATTTATAGCTTTTCTCAGATTTTAAACAGGTTTATGATCCAAAGTATAATGAGAATCACAGCTTAAAAACACCCTTCAGTGGCTGTACTGAAGTTACAATCATTGTTCAGGCATGACAGACTTCTTTAGAAATCTATGGAAAGCTTTAGACTCTCCTGCCCTGAGAAATTCACATAAAAATCTTAACCTATAATTTTGAGTCTACAAACCCCTAAATCACATTCATGAACCTCATAAAAGCTAAGTTTTCCTACTTTAGTTTGCTTTCAATAATTAAAGGATTCTAATCCTCCTCATTCAGTGGATTCAAACAAAATACTAGATATTCTGTAGACTTTGACTCAGATTCCTAATGAGGAAAAATATTAGTATAACATCATACTATTTGAATGTTCAGATTTGAATAATCATGATACTAATGCCGTACATTGTCTGTTACTCTACGCATTTGGCTATGTGAGAAACAGGATTTATAGGAGTTTTACGATTCTTGGACAATTTTAAAGATATAAGTATTAAATCATGTGAAAAAAGCTTTATTAAAAATAAAATGTATTAAAAAATAATGTAAATACATTAATTTAAAGAAAATAGTGATATAAATTAAGAAATTATAGCCAGCACCGGTTTGGCTCAGTGGATAGAGCGTCAGCCTGCGGACTGAAAGGTCCCGGGTTCGATTCCGGTCAGGGGCATGTGCCTTGGTTGCGGGCACATCCCCAGTGGGAGGTGTGCAGGAGGCAGCTGATAGATGTTTCTAACTCTCTATCCCTCTCCCTTCCTCTCTGTAAAAAATCAATAAAATATATTTAAAAAAAAAAAAAAGAAATTATAGGATAAGTTATTTGGTGGGGGGGACAAAGAAATGAAGAGAAATAAAAGCAAAAGACAGTTCATCTTCATTACAAGCTTTGTGGTAGTATTTGACTAAAATATGTATGTATGTTAGTTTGATCCAAAAATTTTTTAAGTTAAAACACTAAGATAATATTTAGGCTTACTATCTTAAAAATTTTAATTTGTGCCCTAACCGGTTTGGCTCAGTGGATAGAGAGTCAGCCTGCGGACTGAAGGGTCCCAGGTTCAATTCCAGTCAAGGGCATGTACCTTGGTTACGGGCACATCCCCAGTAGGGGGTGTGCAGGAGGCAGCTGATCGATGTTTCTCTCTCATTGATATTTCTAACTCTCTACTCCCTCTCCCTTCTTCTCTGTAAAAAATAAATAAAATATATTTTTTTAAAAAAAATTTTAATTTGCAACTTTACCCTGGTAGGTAAGATATATAAATGTTACAAGTTTTAAATTAAAAAGTGTGGTTCATATTAATTCCATCAAGTTTTTATTAAGTCACATTATTAAACATTCTCTATATTCCTGAGAAGTTGGTTCTTATGGAACCATGTCTCCTACTACCTCCCATTCTACTAGTCGTTTCAGAAGTACATTCCCATGTTACACTGCCGATAGCTCAAAGGAAGAAAACCAAGAGGAATGACTTCTCTTCTGAACATAAGGTGTCTGCTGAGATGGAGCTGAAGATGTTCACTTCAGCTCCTTAGTTATTTAAGAGGAGACTAGTGTTATGCTGCAAGTACTGAGGCCCATAGAGTTGCTGGGATGAGAGTGGTACCGGTTCAATAAGTCAATTTTATTAAGCCAATAGACCTGCACTTTCAGAGCATAGTATATGAAATATTGAGATATTTTCCTTAATGCTCAAGCACTCTTTTGTACTTCTCAATCTGGTTGTTTTCCAAGAAGTTAAGGACATGGATGGTTTAAAGATAACATCTTACTACCAGTTAAGCAGGCATTTGTGAATACTGCCAAAGAAGCATTAAGTTCCGGAACAACTAATAGTGGAGCCTAGCATAATCCCTGGCACATGGTAATACTCAAACGTTTGCTGAATGATGAACAAATGAGTTCTGAGAAGCAGAGGGGGCAAACAGCTGTCTGCAGTGGTATGTGATAGTCAAATGGCTCTGGGTCCATTTTTAGGGCTTGCCATGCTTTGCAATCTATCATCAGAGATAGGCAACATTTTTCCAAACAAACCATAGTTAAACTGTGAAGGCCTTACATATTAGTATTACTTAATATAAAAAGACTTTAGAATAGCACTACAGCACATATTAGGTGTTCAATGAATGCTTGCTAAGTTATTATTGCTAATAAACAATCCCTCAAATAATAGTTAAAGCATATTAGTCCAGAAACCATAAAGGAGCTTATTAAGAAAGCTGATCAATACCAAGAAGTTCTTTTGGTTCTTTTTCACTCAGAGAAGTCCAACACATACCCTTCTCTGAATGGACACAGACAAGTCTAGGAGGATATATACCAAAATGCTATCCATAGTAATCAATTTAAATGAATATGAATGGCTTTTGTTAGGTTAGACAGGTGAAAGAACTACAGAGAATAGGCATTACTTAAATGTGTTTTAAATTCTGTTTTCGGTGTGTTTTCCCTACAAATTCTTTTTGACAGATACTATAATTTAAAGGTTCATTATTTTAGCTTAAATTCATTAATTAGGAATTTGGTAGTGTAAAATTTAGTTCAAAATGAGAAAGATATACAATGACAATATAGGCTGCAGAAGAGGTAAGTCCTTGATCCCTCTTAAACTAAAGACACTAAAATGATCTCTTAGGTGACTAGTGAGTCCTTATTTCTCCTTTTTTGTTTTGTTTTGTTTTGTTTTGTTGTTAATCCTCAAAATGGATATATTTCCATTGATTTTTAGGGAAAGTGGAAGAGAGAGGAAAAGACAGAGAGAAACATCAATATGAGAGAAACACATTGGTTGCCTCCCCGGGAGGAGCTTGCAACCAAGGTATGTGCCCTTGACCAGAATCAAATCTGGGACCCTTTGGTCCACAGGCTGACACTCTAGCCACTGAGCCAAACCAGCTAGGGCTTATTTCTCCTTCCTTGCAATAAGCAAGGAACCCCATTTTACTTATCTTTATATCTCTTTTGTACATGTAGGATAAGAAGGTCACAGTTTTGTTGAATGGAACAAACAGTCAAGTAAACAATCATCTCTCTGAATATACTGAGGGAAGGATATTAGCAACATTGTATTTTTGGTGTATGTTCCAGTCCCAAAGAGTATAATTCACTAACTGATTTCATTATTACAATATAGAGCAGCGGCAAAGAATAGTGGTGAAGAGCTTTGGGAGTCTGTAGCCAAACTATCTGGGTTCAAATTCTAGCTGTAGCAAACTGAACAGCTGGTGACTTGAGTAGGTTACTTAACTTCTATGCCTCAGTTTCCTCATCTATAAAATGTGAGAATCACAAAGCCTATCTCATAGGACTGTTATGAAAATTAAAAAAGGGCTTTGAAGAATTCCTGACACTTAATACATTATATGTGCTTGCTGAAAAAAAGGGGGGAGGGGGACTTTCACTGCTACAAAATGGTTAACAAATCTAGGGTAATTAAGAAACCTGAAAATTACCCCATCTTACAGTCTGAGACATGTGTCACCTTCTCACACTATGTGTAAAATTACTTCAATAACTATGAAAGCTGGCTCTTTAAATTTACCAACTATCCACATAAGCTTGGCTGCTATGGTATTAAATGTTAAAGACAAAAACTGTGTGAAGGACAAGCTTCCCTTGTAAGAGAATGAACTTAGAAAACTGATAATTGTTTTTCTTGATTCTTAAATGAATCAATACTTAAATTAAGAAAAAGGCATAGTTGGTTTCTCTTGGACATTTTTAGGTTTATAAGATCTTAAATTTTATCTCCATAGGTTTGTTGGATTTAATGTTCTAATATATTTTCTCCTTAAAAAATAAATTTCAATGTTAAAATTTATTGTGAATATGGTATTAAAATTTAGAGCAAAAGTATTTTTCCTTTGAGACATATGCTATGTGCCAAAGTTATATATAGGTTAATGACTATTTTAGTCTGTAATAAAATGTGAAATGATCATGCCTAATGCTGTTGCACAAAATTAAAGAAAAATGGTGATGCAGAAGGGAGAAAAACACCACTTAACATTTGAAAATGAAATAGAATTTAATTAATAATAAAATGCATGTTAACAGTTATATATGTATATATGGTTTCAATACAGAAGTACACAATTACTCAAAAGCATCCCTGACCCTGTTTTTCACATAAGCACTACAAAAAAAATTAGTAAAAATTGACACAGAATTTAAAGTTTTAAGTAGCACTTCCAAAATTTCATTTACACACTACTCCCTTCTTCCTTAATGATCTTTCTCCACCTTCAATATACAGATTCTACTTACCATTTCTACATATTTTTCCATTCAAATATTATTCATTAAATTTAAAGAGTATGTATAGCAAAAACTAGCTCTCAAGATAATACTATGAAATCCCTTCAGGCCTCTAAGTATGCAAAATATCATTATGCATAATATTTTTAACCAACAAAAATTCAGGTTATGAAATATAATTTGAGAGCACAGATATTCTATTTGTTCCATATCTGTCTAAAGACTGTCTTGCTACTAGCTAGGGTAATATTTTTCCTCTTTCCTATTTTCTCTGCAGTGCTTCTAAGTATAGTGACAGCCGCATCAGGCTTTCCCAGTCTCAGCGCAAGCTCAGTGAATATCTGGGAAATGTAAGTGGAAACCTGAGAGACCGCTTTATTTGGCAGTGCTTAAGAAAAAAAAAAAAGGCAGGACAAATGGCAAAGCAGTGTTTGGACCGCAGGATGAACAATCAATAGGCAGAAAGCAAGATAGAGGCTTCCTCAGCTTTTGGATCGACAATCGACAGCTGGGAGACTATTTTTTGCTATGGTTGACTAAATATGGTCAGGGAAGAGAGAGGCACAAGAGAGCCTGTTTGCCTGGGAGTGCATGTTTCAAATGCTTAGCTGCCTATAAAGCTGTAACAGTTTAGCCTGTAGCCACTGAGGGAAGAATTTAAGTTAACATCTGTAGTGACCATGTGGAAATCCTGACCTTGCTTGCAGACTTGACCTCTGGATATGACAAGGTAGCTTCAATACAGATTTACCATTTACTCCTGGAAACGAAACACCAAAAAAAAAAAAAAATCTCATAGCAAGAAAGATGCAGAATTATTTCCTAAGAAGTCAGAAGAACCCAATGTATTCTGGTGGGCAAAGGAAAATAGTATGAATGTTTATGGTTAGTTGGGAGAGTGAGGTGTGTTTTGTTTTTTGGCTTTCTGGCTGTTTTAGATTATAAAATTAACTTGCTCTGCAACTTTTCCCCCTCTTCCGAAGCATTTCATCTGAGAAATAAGGGAGGTTCAGTATCTTGGACGTTGTAGCAACCTTCCTTGCTTGCTTAACTTTCTGTACAACAGATACAAGCTACTCATATCTGTGCAATACTGGTAATATAACATTCCAAATCAAACAGCCAGTATTGATTAATTTTTTCTGTGGTTTATTTCTTTTTAAGGATAAAGGAAGGAAGAAGGAAAAGATGGCTGACTTATTTTTGTTTGTTCAATTGTTTTTCAAATTTATCTTAAAAGGTGAGATTCTGTGTTCACTGATACTTCCCTCTGACTTCACCGACTCATGAAAAGAAGTGCTGAATCAGCGGATTGAGTGAAGGAACAATCAAGATGAGATGGCTGCTGCTGATGTGACTCTCTAGGTCATTACCTTTCTTCCTGCTGCAAATGCTGCATGACACTAAGCTCACAGGTAACAGCACCACAAAGCCTGTACTTTTAAGGATGCTTATTTATGACTTTCTGCATGCTTACCTATTACTGACTCAATATATGTTTTTATTGTTAAGTTAAATTCTATCTGGGCAAAGCCTAATTTCACAGTTCCACTAGAGAGCTTATGCAGTGTAAAAAGGAATGCTGTTCAAATATCAGGCAGGTAACTCTTTATCTAAAAAATATACAAATCCATTACTGTCATTTATATTATTAAAGGTTAAGTCTTTTATTGTTTCAGATTACATGATTTTGCATCCCTAGTAAATTACACCCTGCTTCCAAAGTATGCTAAATTTTAAAAACTATTAACTATTTCAAGATTTAGTCAAGAAAGAAACTTGGCAGAATACAAAACACTTTTTTAATATATACTCTAAGTTGGCCACAAAAATGTCAGAATGTGTACGGTGAAATTCTAATGCTGCAATGCTGAAACTGCTGTAGTACTGCCCTATCTCCTGCTACATTCTAATTTGCTCTCTATGAGCTGCACTAGCTTTTTATCACAGGCTGCAGAAACTCTTTCCCTGCCTTTTTACCCCTCCTTTCCCAAATCTGAAAACTTCTTACAGTCTTCTTTTAAATTAACTGTTTACTACCACAATAATTAAAGGCAACTATTATATCTTTTAATGATGAATGATCAAGCTAAAACCCAGTGCAAATATCTTTCAGTTCAAAATTTTAAGTAAGACTTTGGACAAGGTAACTGTTCTGACAGCTGTCCTTTATATTTAAAAAAAAGAAAGAAATGAGGTAAACTCACCAAAATTAAGTATTTATATACTTCTGTTTGAATTGTATTTAATTCAAAATGTAAAATTCAGGTTAGTAGCTAATGAAGACAAAGGAACGACAAAGAGGTTTTCAATTGATCATGAGTTCTTATCTGTAACCTTAAAAAAAAAAAACAACTAACAAAAAATTCATCATCTTTAAAAATTCTGTTTAGCCTTGGCCAGTGTGGCTCAGTTGGATGGAGCATCATTCCATACACCAAAAGGTGGCAGGTTTGATTCCTGATCATTGCACATATCTAGGTTGAGGGGATTGAATCCCTGATCAGGGCACCTATGGTAGGCAATTGATGTTTCTCTCTTTTTCTCTCTCTGTCTCTCTCTCTCTCCCTTCCTCCCCCTCTCTAAGAAATTCAATTAAAAATTTTTTATAAAATAAATAAAAATAGAAAACTGCAGTTTGCTCTAAAAAGATCTGGTTTTTCTCATTGTCATTTCAACTTTAGGGTGAATATCAGAAGAAATACTAATTGATTGGTTAAGTTTTTAATAAGATAACTAGTCTATAAAAAAGAATCTGTACCAAATTAATTACTATCTACTTGTAGGATCTAGAAGCACACTACAAAATAAGAAGAATTTCACTCTGAAGACTCTGAAGAAATACTAGGCTGATCTTATAAACTTCTGAAACACACTGTGTAAAAACTCCACTGATTCTATAAAGCTATTGCAAAAAGGACCAAACCAGGATAAAGTACAACAGATAACTGGTCAATGTTTAGAAGTTTATGTCCACCAACAAGGAACCATAAATGGCATTAATGCAATGCTTCAGGTAAATTTTTTATGCAGTTTAGTCTTTGATTGTCTCTACAAGTGATCTACCATTGTTCTACTTCGGTAAGCTGAATGTTTTACTAACAAATGGGAAAACAATTCATGTTTTTACAGCTAACAACTTTGTAATACCTACTCAGAGTACATACTTCTTTATGTACCCATATGAACATACAATGCTATGGAATGTAAAGAAGTATGTATTTTTGGTAGGCAATAAACCGCCAAGAGGAAAATAAACTGCAGCTAAAAGAAGCCCTTGCTTCTTTCCATGTAAATGACCTTCATGTGGTATATTAACCTAGAATCACAGAGATGACCTTTGGGAATAACAACATCATAAAATGTACCTACTGCTTATAGATGAAAACTAAATGTCACTAAGATTTATATTTTATAAAGAAAAAAGCTCTACTGAAATAGATTTAAAATTATCATGAAACTCCTTTCAAATCTTTTACATTTAAAACATAATACATTTTTAAACCTAGTACTCACATGATTAATATATTTTTTTACATGATTAATATTTGAACACCAAAAAAAAAGTATTACTAGCACAAAAGAACGAGATATACACATGACCTATTTTCTGTTTCCACAATTTTATCTTAATTTAAGTATATCCCATTAATAGGGTTGATTGATTTATTAAGAAAAGATACAACAAAAGATGATTTCATTTACATTTTAACAGCTATTCTTCATAGTTTTATAAATTTATAATTAAATGATATTAGAGAATTTTTTGAAGCAAGTTTTTGCTTTAGGTTTTCTTTTTTGAAAACTATAAACATAGTCATAATTTTAAAAGATTATGTTTTAAGTAAAATCATACTCTCAAAGGAAAAAAGTTGTCCTTGTCTTTCTCAAGTTTATCATGTCTTTCTGCTAAGTCAGTACTGAGAATATATTAAAATGTAAGATTTATGCAAGAAAAATGACAAAATTCTGGGTCACAGCTGTAAGTCAACAGAGAACATTGGTAACAGACTGCCAAATATTTTAAAGAAATTAATTTATTATCTGTATTATCCTTGAATTTATTTTATCCAAAGGAGGCACTCAAACTAAAAACACTATAGTCAAGAAACCAATTCATACAAATAGAACAACCTTCTTTTATTTTTTTAAAATATATTTTTGTAGATTTCAGAGAGAAAGGAGAGGGAGAGAGAGATAGAAACATCAATGATGAGAGAGAATCATTGATTGGCCACCTCCTGCACACCTCCCACTGGGGATTGAGCCCACAACCTAGGCATGTGCCCTTGACCGGGATCGAACCTGGGACCCTTTAGTCCACAGGCCAATACTTTATCCACTGAGCCAAACCAGGTAGGGCAGAACAACCTTCTTTTAATGGTACTATGCAATTACAAGTCTATTTTTATAAACATCAAAGACCCACTATGTACTGTATGTTAGAGATATAAAAATACTTCCATATTTTATACAAAATTTATTTTGTATTATATTTATATATTGATAAAAAGTATAAATAAGCTCTTAATTAATAAGCAGTATCTATTTTAGCTACTATAGTAGACTTACATTAAAAATATTAATATTCTAATCATTTCTTATTAGAAGTATTATTTCAACTGGCATATTTAGTCATGTACAAAAAGCATAATATTTTTAAATTTCTGTGTCACAAATTAGTAGAATAGCTATAAGGTGACTATAATTTTCTGTTTAATAAGACAACTAGGTAGGTAGTTTTTAAAGTTGATTTTCACTTTATCAGATTAGAAAAAAAATGAGAGAATGAATCTATTAGATATGATGGCATATAAGTTATTGCATGTTTACTGAAAATTATAAAAAGCTCATAATTTTAAAGTCTGTATTTCAAAGAAAAAATAACTCAAAGCTTAACACTTAAGCATAAACCTTCTTTCTGATCATCCACAAAAAGAATAGCAATGCTTCATATTCCATTTAACTGTGCATGCCCTAAAATATACACCTCAAAAGTAGAGGTTCCTATATAAAACTATTCAAAGGGTATTACTATACCCATGTTTTATAATAACGAGTTATATTCATTATTCTATAGGTATAAAAACCTTTAATTAATTTAAATCATCCCAGTATCTAAGAATCTTATGATTATAATATTGAGTATAATCCTTAGAAAATAAAATGACAGCATCTGTTATTCATTTTAAAAAGTAAAATTATATACTGATTCTGGTGTTACAAGTTTAACTTAACATATCTAAGAGTATTTTCAATCACTCTAAAATGTCACATTCATCACTTAGGTCAGCTGTTCATTTTTAACTGAGTACATATTAAACTCTGGGCATCTGCTGACACTGGTGTAACTCAAACATTTCAACTGTCTCTCTGACAGGGATAACAGATGCTGACATTATCAAATGCTGTACTATTTTTTTCCCATGGCCTCTCCTTGCCCCGATATGGCCAGTATATGAAACTGAACTGCCATCCAAAAGCACACTTGAGCAACTGGATCTGCTAAACAGCTCCCATATAACTAGTAAAAATAGAAGCCAGTTTTACTGCTATCTTCAGCACTTAAGTCCAGGCAATTTAGCACCTGTTTCACTTCTATTAGAATAAAATATGGGAAAATTGTAGTTATATTAATTTCAACACAGCATGACACTTACTAACCAACAGATGCAGAATATACTTAATATGACAATTATTTGAATATTGCCTGAATTACTGACCTTCTCCCAGTTTAGTTCAGAACAGTAATTATTTCTTTCTCTTTATATTTCACCTAGAGCACTTACTTTTACAGGCAAACTATAATTTCTCAAACTTTTATTTTAATCAAGTATATTTCAGAAGACTTCCCTTCCTGATATTTAAATGCAACATTGAAGTTACAGTATTAACAAAAATTGCTGGACTGAGTTTTAATGGTAGATTTTAATACTCAAATTTATGGATTGTAGCCAACCACCACAATTCAATGTATTATTATTAAACTGATAATGAGGAGTAACTAGGCAATCTGTACAGAGAATTCAGTCAAGGAAATAGACTCTTAAAAAGGTTAAATTACTAATCTATGATTTGTAATACTACATAAGTAAAAAACAAAGAAAAATAAGCTGGCATGTATGGTTCCTCTCAACACAAATCCAAGTAATACACTTGAATACACATGCAATCTATTTATAAACCAAAAGGCAGAGGTACTTTCTTAAGGTCACTCATATTCTTTCAACCTTGGTCAGCAACTTGCTATTAGTCCTCTGGTATAATACTAAAAAAAGCAGGGTGCCTTGGCTGGTGTGGCTCAGTTGGTTGGAGCAATGTCCCATACACCAGCAGGTCGCAGGTTCGATTCCCAATCAGGGTACATACCTAGGTTTCGGGTCTGATCCCCAGTCGGGGCACTTAACAGGAGGCAACCGATCAATATTTCCTTCCTTCCTTTCTTCGGTGAGAATTAAAAAAAAAAAAAAAAAAAAAAGGCAGGGGCGGCAGAAACGTGTGATTAGCAGTACTCTTTCCTAACCTGTTAGGTTACTAGGTTACTTACTTGGTTTACTGCGTAGAGAGAAATATAAAACATTACTCTGAAATGCATAAAGATCTATTTGTTCCTTTAAATGTTGTTGGTTTCAAAACACGTTATTGTCTACATTTAAAAATTAAGTAAGGTGTTAAAAACAAAAATGCACACTGATAATTCCTTAATGCATTAACAACATGTTGAAGGGTAAAGACTTCTCACTTTTAGAGCAGGAAATAGTAGGAAAAGTGCCGTCAAAATAGAAAAAGTTACATTCAATGACTAAAGAACTGATATGAGAATCTAACTTTTGTGGAAGGTCCATAACCATAATTTTACAAATAAAAAGCATTTTAACTGTTTTATAGCCCAAACTAACAGCATTGCAATGTTTTGCTAGAGCTGGTAAAATGGAACCAAATCGCCTCTTCAATGGATTTGGTCCCCTTCAACCAGCTGTAGCTATGCATTGATTACTACAAGACAGCCAACGTTTTCACTTATGAGTATCAGACATGTCAACTAATTTCAACTTATTTATTTGGATTGTGCTTTAAATTAAAAAAAAAAATTGTTACTCTCTATTCTTGTAAAAGCCATAGTGGTTAACAATGTTTATAAAAATCTTTATGAAAAATGTGTGGGTGATGTAAGGATTACAAATAAAATAATTTTACTTATTTATGGTCTCTTGGTATTGAATTTCTTACCCTTCAGGAAAGAAATGGTAATGAAATGTAGGCTATGCTGCATAATAATAGTTTAAAAAAAGAACTTCCTTCAGAGGAAAAAAATATCTGGGAAGATCACCTGAAACCATAATAAGAATGCCACATTATGGTTCACATGGACATATTTTAAATTAAAGAAAAATATAACATTACATAAAATAACGCACTAGAAATGTTGGGTAGTATCTTCCATAAAATTAGCATTTAATTTTACTGCTATTTACCTGAATATTGATAGATAAGGTAAAAATGATGATGATATTGAAGAATATCTTGTGAAGAGACAAACAGTAAGTATCTCATTTTTCCAACCCTGAATCAAAAGTTCTTAATCCTCAAAAATGAAAAAAATGCTAAGCATTGCTACCTTTTACTCTATAGATATTTCATCTCTCCAAACTTGTTTCCTCAGCTGTAAAACTAATAATATTCTGTGAAACTCCTCATTCCTTCTGTCTTCTTTATCCTTCAAATATATATACACACACACACACACACACACACACACACAAGAAGCCTCTCTCTCTCAATGGAAAAAAAATGAAGAAAAAGGAAAATGACAAATGATCCAACATCCTCTAATTTTCTTACTGACTGCAATAAAACTATAGCTAACGTAACGTTCTTTAATAAAGACAAGCATTTTATCAATTAATGAAGGGTTACGGAGGGCAAGTAGTTTAAAAACCTAGATGTTCTCACAATCCTCAACTCCTGACCACTCCTCTATTTCAAAGCAAAGATCAGCCCTTAAAACAGCGGTTCTCAACCTGTGGGTCGCGACCCCTTTGGGGGTCGAACAACCCTTTCGCAGGGGTCACCTAAGACCATTGGAAAACACATGTATAATTACATATTGTTTTTGTGATTAATCACCATGCTTTAATTATGTTCAATTTGTAACAATGAATTTGGGGGTCACCACAACATGAGGAACTGTATTAAAGGGTAGCAGCATTAGGAAGGTTGAGAACCACTGCCTTAAAAGCATGTGGGCAAAGGAAGGCATATGTAAATGAGTCTTATCACTTCATTCAAGTTAATAGGCCTTCTTCCTTGTATGAATTACACCTGTCGGTCACATTAAATAAATTTATGTATTACAAGGCATGTAGTGTTGAGAGTAGATGCATGGACACATGAGAGAAAATGGACATACTATAAGTACACTACCATTCGATAGTCTCTCGGGTACTTTTTATATATAACACTCAGCATATTTAGAGTTTAACAAGAAAAGAAAATTATTAAACACAAAGATATGGTCCAGATTATCAAATCTTTCTATATTCAACAGTCTTATATACAGTCTCATAATTTATAAAGTTAAATAAAGGTATAATAACATTCTACAGGGAAAATACGAGTTGCTCACATATTCAGTAAGATTTAGTGTCTTTGTGGGAATAAATAGATAAGTAAATAAGAAGTGCCTGTGAAATTACCTTAGTGCTATGATAAACTGAAAATATATGATATCATATGGCTCACTCATATTTTACTATTACTTTTCATATCCAATTTATATTAGAGAAAAATTTATAAATAACACTACATAAAGTAAGTTTATAATGTTATCAGTGCCTCCAAAACATCTAGCAATTGTTTTTTAAAAGCTCTGCAGGGAATATTGCTAATTTATTTTCATGTCTGTGAGGGACCTCTAAAAACTTCAAGGTACCTAAAAATGCAACATCCTCACAGAAAATACCTAAGTAATGTGCTGATTAATGCCACTAATCCAAAGAAATTTAGTTTTCATCTTTAACAACAGAAATGTTTTCTGCTCTTCATTTAAATCTGAAATTTTACATGAAATTTTAAATTTTAAATTTTAAATTTTACCTGTATATAAAAAGAAAAGACAACATGGCTAAATTGTAGGGACAATGCCAAATATCAGAATACATAAACAGCATTGTCCTTAGTTAAGATTTCTTAAAATAAAAACACTACTATATTAAAACATACTTCAACTACATTCTAAAAAGCTCCAAACTTTACAAAGCATGACCAAAGTACTCAGTGTCTCACAGCAAAAACATATTCTCTTACATAATTCTGAAAGAAATGTTTTATAACTCTTTTTCTCTTAATGTCTTTACTTCAGTTACTGTCATATTATAAGTAAACACCAAAATCAGCTCTGAAATCTGGAATCTCTATTGATCTGCACCTTTGAAATATAGATTTCATAGTATATTCTTCAAAAACATCAGACATTTAGACATATTTTTGATGAGCAGGAAAGTCATTTTCTTTTAGAAAAGCACATCCAATAATTACTAATTCTACTATGTTATTGACTGTTACTGACTTATTGCTGAAAAAATTATTATTAACTAAAAGCAAAACTAGGAAATAGAATGCTACTTAAATTCCATGTGTATATATGTACATACAAATTTCGAAAACTTTTCCACATTGCTAACCATAATAAATTGAAAGAATTATAAGACAACATTGTGCTGGTACTAAATTATACTCACAATGATGTAAATAATTTACTGCAGAAATATATATATACATTCTAACAAAACAGGTAAGAATTATACTAACATGCCATCAATTGTATTTATTTATTTATTTGTCTATCTTTATTCATTTTTGAGAGAAAGGGAGAGAGAAAGAGAGATAGAAACATCAATGATGACAGAATCATTAATTGGTTGCCTCCTGCACGCCTCCTGCACGCCTCCTGCTGGGGATCAAGCCTGCAACCCAGGCATGTGCCCTAGACCGGAATCAAACCCAGGACCCTTCAGTTTGCAGGCTGATGCTCTATCCACTGAGCCAAACCAGCTAGAGCCAATCAATTGTATTTAAAATTGACTATACATTAAGTCTAACAGGTAAGTCAGGTATACTAAAGAAGTATAACTGCAGTATAAAACAAAAATCACAAATAACAAAATTAAAATATTACAATTCAAGGTAATACATTCATTATGCTATATAAATTATAAAATGCTTATAAGAAAGAGGAAAATGTTAGCACATTTGCTAATCTAATATTTTATTCAAAAATGCTAACTCATCAGGTTCTGGAAATAATGTACTAACTGGTTTTCTCAAATAAGTGTTAAGGCCAAAGACTTCTTAAAAAAATTCTGAGTACAACAAAAACAGTTCCTTTCTATATAATGACATCAATGGCCAGTATAAGGAAAGAAAAGTGAATTTTAAGAATAAGAAATTTGATATGAAGTTACAAATTTGCAATTATAAATGATATATAAGTTATGTCATTTTTCTGACATCTTCCATGTCCAATTAACATTACACTCTTTATCTGGCAATCTACAGTCACACCTTCATAAAATGCCTTAAGGAAATAGGAATAAAGAAGTCATGTAGTGCCTTGGCTGGGTAGCTAAGCTGGTTAGAGTGTCGTCCTGATACACCAAGGTTGCGGGTTTGATCTCTGCTCAAGGCACATACAAGAAACAACCAATGAATGCATAAATAAGTGGAACAACAAATCGATGTTTCTTTCTCTCTCTTTACCTCCTTCTCTCTACCTCTATCTCTAAAAATATCAATAAATGAAAATTTTTTTTAAGAAAAGAAGTGATGTAACTTTAATTGAAGCACTACTTTATTGTAAACTAAAAGTGTTTTTTCCTTTTTTTAAAATGTCACCTGACACCAATTATCTGGATACAGATGTCACTGTTGCAAATGTTTAGGGGAATTCTTAAGAATTGAAGAAACGAAAGTAGTATATTTCCTCCTCCATACATATAGGCTTAGCATTATTAAACATACTATGACTACTTCTAATAAAGTAAAACAAATAAAAATATTTAAAAGTTACTCATTTCCTAACTCTTCAATTTTCAGTTTACCTTAAACTTTATGATTTAGTATTTAACCTAAATTTCCTCAATAAAATCTCTTTTTGCCTATTCTAATCTGTAGTAATCACTCTGTTTAAACTCCTAATAGTTTCTCTACGGAATTTATTTTGTAATTGATCACATATACTCTAGTAATATCTAACACTGTCTTGACTGTCAAATCAAGAGTAACATTAACTGAGTTCCTACTATAATCAAGGCATTGTAAGGAACATACAAATGAGCATGAATGCCCACAATTTAAGTAGAAAGGAACATAAACATGCATATACTAAGGGACAGCGCAAAGCAGATTATAGGTGCAGTAAAATAAGAACACAGAACAAGGAAGTAAAGGGCAAACAGAAAATAGTTTCAATGATGAGATCTAAGAGTTCTAGAAAAAAGATGGTTAAGATAAAGAAAAAAATCCTTAAGTAAATGAAAGAAGAAAGCAGACAAACTATCTTAAGAAAGGAAAGTAGAACAATGAAGCTGAAGAGCAAGGTAGGCAGAGATGGCTTTTATTTAGTGAGAGATAAAGTCAGAAAGACTCAGGACACACTGTAAATGGGTTTGAATGCCAGGTCAAGGTGTAAAGATTTTATTCTATGTACAATAGAAAGCAACTAAAGACTTGAGAACAGGAGAGGGGAGCCATTTGGTCTATGTTCTTAGAATGATAATTTGGTAGTTATATGAAAGTTGTCAAATAAAACTAAAATCGGGGAGAAAAATTAGAAAGATACTGTAATAGTCTAGGTCAGTGGTCGGCAAACTCATTAGTCAACAGAGCCAAATATCAACAGTACAACGATTGAAATTTCTTTTGAGAGCCAAATTTTTTAAACTTAAACTATATAGGTAGGTACACTGTTATTAACTTAATTAAGGTACTCCTAAGGCTTAGGAAGAGCCACACTCTGCCGACCACGGGTCTAGGTAAAGGTGGTCAATATTTAATTAGGTCAGCAACAATGGAAATAGAAAGAATGAAATGGAATGGATTGGAAATATGGTACCTGTAGAATAAAGGAAACTTTAGAATTCATTGGAAGTTCAGAATTAGTGACAGGGTAGTCAAAGTTAACCCTAATCAAAAGAGGCAGCAAGGACACTGACATATTAATGCATTCTTAGTTAAATGATTCACTGTCCATATATTTCAGTCTTACCTCTCATATAGCCCATAATACAGAAAAGTAATATCAAGTGGTTAAGAGTTATGAGTCCAAAGTCAGATGGACCTTGCTCAAGTTCCAGCTGCTCCCCTAGTCACTGACTTTGAATAAGCAAATTCATCTCTTTATAAGACTCATTCTTCCTCTACAAAATGAGGACATTAAAACCTGCCTCAAAAGGCTGTCCAAAAATTAAATGAGATCATGAATGTAAACCACTTAGTAAAGGCCTGTGCTCACCCGCTAGAGGTGACCCTAAAAAAGCTAAAATAATAAAAAACAGCAAAAAATTAAAAGAAAACATGATATAAAAATGTAGTATTGGGTCAGGGGTTGGAGCATCAGCCCACAGATGCAAAGGGTGGCGGGTTCGATCCCTGGACCAGGTCAGGGCGTATGTAGGAGGCAACTGATCTTATATCGGTGTCTCTCTTACATCCATGTTTCTCTTTCTCTCTCTCCCCTCTCCTCCTTCCACTCTGTCTGAAAATCAATGGAAAAAATATTCTTGAGTGAGGATTAAAAAAAAAGCAGTATGGAACTAAACAATAAGAATTCAGGATGTGCGGGCGATCTGACTGCGACATCTGTCACCCCATTGATCGCCAGGGCTGATTTGGCTGATCTGGCTGGCTAGGCAGGTGTCCCCCTCCTCCCTTACCGATCCATGTGCATCCCTCCTGAAGCTGCACGCTCAGTAGAAGAGGATGACCCTCCCCCCAGAGGAGAGAACCAATCTTCGGTCAAGGGTATACGAGTAGCTGCGCTCCCCTGCTAGAACCTGCAAACAAGCTCTCAAGAATTCATTCATAGTGACTATAGTTATAATACTGCTGTATATATTAGAGAATTGCTAAGACAGGAGATCTTAAAAGTTCCCATCACAAGAAAAAATATTTGTAGCTATGTGTGCTAATAGATGTTAACTAGACTTATAGTGGTGATCATTTTATAATATATACACATTATCTGATCATTATGCTATCCACCTGAAACTAATATAATGTTATATGTCAATTATATCTCAATTTTAAGAAAAGATTTCAGGATATATTAAATTATTGCGATAAACTTCAAAGTGAACATTTCCCTCAGTCAAGACATGTAGGCTATATTAAAAAAAAAAAAAAGCCCTAACTGATTTGGCTCAGTGGATAGAGCGTCAGCCTGAGGACTGAAAAGGTCCCAGGTTTGATTCCGGTCAAGGGCATGTACCTTGGATGCGGGCACATCCCCAGTAAGGGGTGTGCAGGAGGCAGCTGATCGATGTTTCTAACTCTCTATCTTTCTCCCTTCCTCTCTGTAAAAAATCAATAAAATATAGTGTGTTTTTTTAAAAAAAGACATGTAGGCTTATTTGAGACAGCATGGATGGACCTAGAGGGTATTGTGCTAAGTGAAATAAGTCTGTCAGAGAAAGACAAATAGTGTATGATTTCTCTTATATGTGTAATCTAAAGCATACAAACAAACAAACAAAACAGAGAACAAACTCATGTTTGCCAGAGGGGAGGGCGATTTGGGGACTGGCTGAAAAGGTGAAGGGATTGAAAAGTACAAATTAGTAGTTACAAAACTCTCATGGGAATGTATAGCACAGCATAGATAACATAATCAATAATATTTTAATAACTATGTATGGTGCCAGCTGGGTGCTGAAAATACTGAGGGAAACACTCTGTAAAGTATATAATTATCTAACCACTGTGCTGTACACCTGAAACTAATAAAAAATAATATTGAATGCAATCTGTGATTTAACTTTAATCAAAAAATTAAGTTAAAAATAATATGTAGGCTTTACTCAACTATAAACAGAAGACATCTGATGCAGAATTTTCTAAAATGCTTCTCAGGGTTCTGGTTGGTGTGGCTCAATTAGTTGGAACATCATCCCGGCACCAAAAGGTTGCCAGTTTGATTCCCAGTCAGGGCACATACTTAGGTTGCAGGTTTGATCCCCGGTGAGGGTGCATATGGGAAGAAACTGATAGATGTTTCTTTCATATATCAATGTTTATCTTTCTTTCTCTGTCTCTCTCTCTTCCCCTTTCTCTAAAATCAGTAAAACACATCCTTAGGTGAGGATTTAATAAGATAAAATAAATAAAACAAATAAAATGCTTTTCAGGTAAAGCTGTTGCCAAAAATTCATTCATGAAAATTCTAGGTTACCCTGGCCAGTGTGGTTCAGTCGGTTGAGCATTGTCCCATGCATCAAAAGGTCACTGGTTTGATTAATCCCCTGTAGGAGGTGTGCAGGAGGCAGCCAATGAATGTTTCTCTCTCCCCCTTCTTTCCTCTCTCTCGCTCTGAAAAATATTCTACATGAAAGCAAAGTTAAACATTTTGTTTTTCTGTGGGACTTTGTCCACATTTTATAAATTCTGTGACTTTCTAAAATTCTTTCTCAAACTTTAACCAGCAAACAATTTTTTTTTCAGTAGACCACCTATAATTATAACTATGGTTACAGAACATCTATATTAGAAATTTATATAAAGAATTATATTATTACTAAGCAATTAGGTAAACTTAATAGTTATTTAGCCACAAGTTTAAAAAGACAATTACTATGCAAATAGACTAGCATGGGGTTTAGAGGACACCCTGAGAATGGTCTTAAAGAAACATAAATCTCAAAATGCACTGCATTCTAATTAAAACTTTACAATATGAGTATTCCTGATCCTCTATATCCATATTGAATATATATTTAGACATTTCATACTTTATTAGTTTAATAACTCAAAAAATCATTATAAAATTAATCTATTTAGTGAAGACAATTTCCACAGATCTTAAAATGATTTAAAATACTAAAATAAGCAAAAATTATTTTCTTATCAGTATCAGAAAAAGAGAACCAGCAACAGAAAGATATTTTTAAACTGCGTATAAATTGGTGAAAGGTAACATTTTTACCTGGGATTTCCTCTTAGTGCAGCATGGTGCAGGGCATTAAATCCATTATTGTTTGTAATGGTGACATCCGCCCCAGCTTCCAGAAGGACTGCCAAGATGTCATCGCGTTTCTTACTTATTGCATCGTGAAGAGGAGTATCACCTTCAGAATCCTTTTTTTTAAGTTTAAAAAGATTTTCATTAGTTCTTTTTCAATCATTCTCACATTTAATTATTAATACTTATAATGAACTACTAATCAAAGAAACAAAAACAGAACCCATATCCAACAACCATCAATAAAGCATACTATGTGTTCAATTTAATAAATGCAGGCAAGAAATAGCATTATAGTGAATAAACTTATACTCAATCTAAATGGCAAACACAATAAACATGCTGTAGCTTTAAAAAAAATCCAAGAAATTAAATACCCTCAAAATAATTAAGTAAATAACAAAAATAAATGAGGTGGAAAAGCAGTCAAAAAATTCATTCGTTTAAAATGGCTTGCTATACCATTGTCCTACCATTAACTGCTGTACCCTGAAACTCCATCCCAAACCTACACCAATCTCAGGGCCCATAGCAATTAATTAAAAGTCAGTGGTTCTCGACCCTGGCTGTACTTTAGAATCTGCTGGGAAGCTCTTAAAATCCTGTAATCCAAAAAAAATCCTGTAATCCAGGCTGTTCTTCAGATCCACTAACTTAAATCTCGGGTTGAGACTCAAGCATTAGTAGTTTTCCCGAGTTCCCCAGGTGAATATATTGTGTAGTCACTGCTGAGAATCATTACTCTAATTGTTTTCAAAGGGCAGGAAAGAGAGTAATTAACTCAAAGTGAAAACAAATGTAAAAGAAAATTTGGCAGTTTCAGTCTATGTTTTTTTTTCAAGTTGATTACTTCAGTAATCAACCAATGTGGCAATAAATTGTTATTCATTATCAGTCATCTGTGTAAATGGGTAATTTCGCCTTCATTCATTTCATAGTTTCATAAATACTATTTTCAGTAAAGCCATATATAGTTACCACAGTTACCAAATCTAGGCTGCCCCCATTTTTGTAATTTTATTTACATAGCCACACACATGCATTTATGTATTATCTATGGCTACTTTGGTGCTACAATGGCAGCACTAAATAATTGTAATAGAAAATATGAAAGCCAAAAATATTACCTGGCCTTTTTTTAAATATATTTTTTTATTAATTTTTAGAGAGAAAGGAAAGGAGAGGGAGAGAGAGAGAAACATCAATATGAGAGAGTAACATCAATCAGCTGCTTCCCGCAAGCCTACCTACTGGGGATTGAGCCCACAACTGGGGCATGTGCCCTGACTACAAACCAAATCAGCAACCTCTTGGTGTATGGGACAACACCCAACCAACTGAGCTGAGCCACAATAGCCAGGGCTTACCTGGCCTTTCACAGAAAAAGTGTGCCAATCCTAGGTATATATTCATCCACCCACATAAGAAATTCCCAACACAAATTCAGTCCAACAATCTACCTTTCATCCTCCTATTGCACTAAAAATTCATGGTCTCCAACTTGAGATAGGCTCTTAACCTGACAGGAATATGCTTCCACAGGCCCTGATCTGTCCTGTCTCTTGCTCTCCACAGTAGCTATTTCAATTACCCTTTCTATACTGACCACTCCCCACTCACTCTCACCTAATTACTTTGCCTCCCATATCAGACAAAAAAAAAAGTCAGCAGGTATAAATTCCACACTCCTTCAACAGATTAATACCTTACATCGTCTACCCCATCTTCTAATCCTACCACTCTGTATCTCGGAAAAACTAGTCTGTAATAATCATTTAGCTGAACAAACTCTCTGATACTTTCAATTCTCATCAAACCTTCAGTCCCATTACTCCTGTTCTACATTGCTTCTCTAAGACCAATCCAAATTAATTCATCTAGTTGCTAAAATTTTGAAAGGGAATAATCATTTCGTAGGTGACCCTTGCTTAAAAAAAGTAGATCCTACTATAATAAATAAACTTTAAAACCCTATGTATTTCCCAAAACAGAAAATCTAAGACTGGACTAATCCAATGATGGCAAACCTTTTGAGCTCGGCGTGTCACCATTTTGAAAAACCCTAACTTAACTCTGGTACCGTGTCACATATAGAAATTTTTTGATATTTGCAACCATAGTAAAACAAAGATTTATATTTTTGATATTTATTTTATATATTTAAATGCCATTTAACAAAGAAAAATCAGCCATAAAAATGAGTTTGCGTGTCACCTCTGACACACGTGTCATAGGCTCACCATCACTGGTACACCAAGACTCTTAAATTACATAAGGCTAGAACTAAAATAATTTAGATAGCTACGAAGTAACTATTAGGAAATGCAGCCTATTACACTTCTTTAAGTTGCTGAAGCCCACTGTCATGATCACTAAAATTAAATCAATTCAATTCAAAAACAGATACTTTTGCATGAAATCCCTATCCCCACCCCTCAATATAAGACAGATCTACTTGACACTTCCTTAAAAAGGCTTTTCTAATAAGGAAGAGCTGCCAATTTTATTACATTCCATACCTTTGGTATCACTTACTATGACTGATCATATGAAAAAAAATCGTAACAGAAATGCTTACCATTGAAGCTAGTACTTCCCTTTAATAGGATCCTAACAATACCTACAGAATATATTTTGTTAAAGGTTTTACCTGAAGACTTGGATGACAACCAAAGTCCAATAAAGTCTTTACAACTTGAAGATGACCTTTATTGACAGCAATATGAAGTGGTGTCTGTCGGCGTTTGTTGCGAGCATTCAAGTCTGCACTGCCTCGATGTAATACTTCTATAACAGCACCTTCATCTCCAAAAGCTGCATGGTGAACAGCTCTATCTCCATCCTTGTCCTAAACAGCAGCATTAAAATCTGAATTAATGAATAGTTTAGAAAAATAAATAAAACTTGAAACTATAATTTATTAAGAACCAAATTGATGTGAAAGAGAAAAAAAACATTGAATAGAGCCAACAAAAAAAGCAGAAATTCACTTGAATAGTGACTAACTCCAAAAATAAATGACGAATCCTGGATCAATACAGGGGTGGGCAAAAGTAGGTTTACAGTTGTGAGTATGCAATACACAAAGTATATTCTTGTACCATTATTTAATACTGTATTATTTGTATTACAACTGTAAACCTACTTTTGCTGATCCATGTATATTATATCAGACATATATTTTTGACCAATAGTTATATCAGAAGTAGTTCAATTCTTCATTACCCTAATTTATCAGTCATGATGATAAGCCAATATTAGGAAAATACTGATATATAACACAATACATAAACTTTTTTCCATTTAAAAATTTTACAAAGACTTTTAAAGGACATAAAAATTACACTAACTTCAGTTGAGTAATTTTAAAAAGAAGAAAGGATGCCAAACAGTGTGATCTCAATTAGTTTTAAGGGGAGAAATATATCAACACATTAACATTGGTTATCTTTAGCTAGTGAGCATACACTTTTCTGTGTATTTGAGAGAGAAAAAATATTAAATACCACTTTAAAAGACAAAAATAAAACACAAACCAGCATAATTTCATACATCCAAAATTCTAAAACTCTTTCAGAGAAATCCAGTAGGTATGCCTCACCTTTTGTAATTGGAGGAGATGAGTCAGAGAATTGTTTACATTTTTTCAAATGTAAAAACAACTTTTTAAAGGGGAAAAAAATGCCTGTCCTGCAGGCATTAACATAAAGATTACACACTTACACACACACACCAAAAAAGAAGTCTCATTACACTGACAGATGCAGATGGAAAAGGATATTATTAAGGGTACTATCTTTAGTCCATATTACAGCTCAAATTTTAACACCCAGAAGTAAGCAAGCTTTAAGACTTTATCCAGTGGTTCCCAGCTGATGGTCCTAGTCTCCTGGTGGACTACGATTTTTGCAAGTGGTTTGAAAATGCATTACTTGTGATTAGTTTAACTACTTTCCAAAGTTAACACAGATAAGTACTGTTGCGATTAAATACATTTAAAACAAATGAACAGCCCGGCCAGCGTGGCTCAGTGGTTGAGCATCGACCTATGAACCAGGAGGTCAGGGTTCGATTCCTGGTCAGGGCACATGCCTGGGTTGTGGGCTTGATCCCCAGTGTGGGGCGAGCAGGAGGCAGCCAATCAATGATTATCTCTCATCATTGATGTTTCTCTCTCTCTCTCCATCTCCCTTCTTCTCTGAAATCAATAAAAATATATTTTTTTAAAAAGAAGAACAGTTCATTCAACACAGTTGAATTAGAAATAGTTTTTGGGTTTTGCAATTTTTCTTAAGCAGATATTAAAAGTAAAATTGCTGATATAGAAGTTCACAAAGATTGAACAACCATTCTCAAAAGGGTAGCAAACCATGACTCAGGAGTACTTCTACCTTACTAATATTCCAGCTAAAACAGGTTAGGAGTTTTTGTTATCTATCTACTTTGAGCATAAAAAAAACTAGCAAGCACCACACTAAAGATTTAACACTTGAGCCTCTGAGCAACATTATATTTAAACATCCCAGAAAAAAAGAAAAATGATTATTACAAAAAATTGTCTTTATTTATGTGTATCACTAACTTTTCCAATAACATATTTCAATATTTTAGAATCTTAGATTTAAGATCTTACTAACCTCTAATCTGGATTTCTTTTCTGTTACATTTTTTAAGTCTACCTGGTGGTACTCCTTCCATTACAAAGGAGAAAATCAATCCACTAACACTCACTGACTAAAAAACAGGAACTATTTATGAAGTATACCAGATATTGATGGTTATTAGAAAACTGCTATTGCAACACTTTTATGCAGGTCCCATCAATTTATGTTAAAAAAAAAAAAAAAACTAAAAAATTAAAAACCCTAATATATATGAAATACAAATAAAAATTTAAAGAACTTGAAAAATACATACCCATACAAGAACACAATTAAATATATTTCCAGACTTTCCTTCTATTTAGAAAACCTCAGCTGTACAAATACCTCAACTTACAGACTTTGAATATACCTAAAACATACTGCTAGTTCACTATTCTGTCCCTACTGGCACCAAATGAGATCTTGAAGGACAACATTATAGCTGGCCTCCAAAGGTAACCTAAAAGGATTTGTGAAGGGGCTTAGAATTAAATCTAAAACTGATTTTTCCCTCGCCAGGTCAGGTGGATTAGTTGGTTGGGGCGTCGTCCTGTGCACCAAAAGGTTGTGGGTTCAATTCCCAGTCAGGGCACATACCTAGGCTGCAGGTTGAATCCCCCAGTCAGGGAGCCTATGGGAGGCAACTGATGTTTCTGTTTCTCCCTCTCTCTTTCTCTCTCCCCTGTCCTCTCCCTCAAATCAATATTAAAACATATCCTCGGGTCAGATCCAAAAAAAACGCAAACGAACCAAAAGGAACTGATCTTGGTTCTTTCTACCCTCTTATTCCCTCCTCTTTCCTCCACCCCTCCAAAATCTGCTCTTGTTCCAGTCTTCCCTATCTTACCTGATAGAATCACAGGCCATAGGTTAACAAAATCAGTATCTGTAGGTCATGCTCACCTACTTCCTTAAACTATAGGCAAGCACCAAATTCTATGGTTTTTACTCAAGTTATGTTCATGTCTATTGTCTCTTCTCCAATTATATCACTAATTAATTCAGGCCTTCATTCTCACTCACCTGACCTATTGCCATAGCTCACTCTGCCTCCTCTTTATTCTAACCCCAATCTAATCTTCACACAGCAGACAGAATTCTCTCCATAACACACAAAATTTATGTTTAAAACTCTTTAATGTAACTCTACTATATAAAGAACAAATCCCTTTTTTAACATTTATTTTCAATTAGTTTATATTCAATATTATTTTATTAGTTTCAGATGTCCAGCATAGTGGTTAGATAAACATATACTTTACAAAGTGTTCCACCTGATACTTCCAGTAACCACCAGGCACCATATATATAGTTACTAGTGGCCCAGTGCACGAAATTCTGCAGTTGGACATCCCTCTTGCAATCTGGGACCGCTGGCTCCTAACCACTCACCTGCCTGCCTGCCTGATTGCCTCTAACTGCCCTCCCCTGCTGGCCTGATCTCGCCCCTAACTGCTCACCCCTGCCAGCCTGATCACCCCTAACTGCCCTCCCCAGCAGGCCTGATCTCGCCCCAACTAACCTCCCCTGCAAGCCTGCTCTCGCCCCCAACTGCCCTCCCCTGCTGGCCTGGTTGCCCCCAACTGCACTCCCCTGCCGGCCTGATCTCACCCCCACGTACCCTCCCCTGCCGGCCTGATCACCCCTAACTGCCTCTGCCTCGGCCCCCACCACCATGGCTTTGTCTGGAAGGAAGTTGGACATCCGGAAGATGGCCAGCCGAACCAGTCTAATTAGCATATTATCCTTTTATTAGTGTAGATATATAGGATAGGATTGCTTAAAGGGGGCGGGGGGTAGCCTTTTTCAGCAGGAGGAGATGCTCTTGGCAGACAAAAATACATAATCCCTATATCTGGACTGATAGCCAGCCACATGCACTATACTGCCAAACTAGTCATTAAAAAATTGAACCGTTTTCTTACACCTTACAACAAACAGCTGTTGCCCTTAAAACCCCTCCTCAGCCCCCACCTTAGGTTCTGCCTTCACAGTTCACCCAGATTAGGTTCTGATTGGTCGGTTTCTGCCAGTCAGCGTCAAAAGCTCTGCCTCCTAGGCACCCACTGGCTCCTCACAGTTCACCCAGATTTGGTTCTGATTGGTCGTGGCGACCCAGCACTGACTGCAGGACTGACTTCCAGTGTTCGGTCATCCATTCGGTCATTTTGGACGTTACAGACCCTGGCTCTTGATATATACAGACTAGTAGCCCAGTGCATGAAATTCATGCACATTAAAAGGTAATTAATTAGCGGAGATATTTTAATATTGCTATTTGCCCTTTCTCTATAATAGAAGTGTGAGAGATGAAAGGAAACTAGTAAAATGTATATGAAAGTAATATATACATTTATTAATAAACAGTAACAAAAGGATATAACAGGCATGATATAAAAACGACAAAAACATGATATGAAAAAAACAAAAACATGATATAAAAACAAGTGATGCAAACAATGACTGATAAAGTGATTAAACCTATTCTAACATCTCCCTGTACACATTAAGAGTGAAAACACTTTCAGAGTGCTTGACTAATTTCCCTTGTGATGAAGTATTTAGAACTTTAACTGTAACATCACATGCTCTTCAAACTTGAGAGAAAGCAACATATAACTGACCATGTGCGCAAACGGGTTCAGGTAGGAATATTCCTACTCTGTCTAGAGTTTGTCCTTGTGATTTATTAATAATCATTGCAAATGCTGGCATCACGGGAAACTGTCATCAAATTAATTTAAATGGGAGGCCAGTATCAGACGGGGACAAATCAGTTCTTGGAATCAGAACAACCTCTCCCTCTGCAGATCCTGTTAACACTTCAGCTTCGATAATGTCAGGTCGTAATCTTTGATAATAAATCTGGTACCATTACAAAGACCCCATTTACTATTAAGATTTCTCAATAGCATGATCACTGCACCACTTGCAATTTTAATTTATGACATAGCATTCCCGAAGGAGTAAATACTATTAAGAAATTCGATGGTAAAATTTTCCTTTTCAGCATCATCTGTTGAATCAACGAAATCACCACTCAAATATGTGTGAAAATCTCCATCGAGTATATCCAAAATTTCTTCATTTAATTTTTGAACATGTTCATTTTTTTGGACAAAAAATTTCATGTTTAGATATATTTTTAATATTATCTATAGATATATTATTTCCAAAGGTAGCTTCAATAATAGATCCATTACAA